ACTGGGCTAAGTTGGTCGGGTAAACAGTAACTAATCTCATCCCAAATGTTAGCCTGGTCTGCCGAGACCCAATTAGCCAGATTTAATTAGCGGTCCTCCCTAAGAGAATATTACTTATGTTTGTCAGTTGTAATTACACCACTGTGCAAAGTGGGTGTTGCGCCAGGGCGTTTTTGGAGCGTTCTTTGGGGTTAAGGGAGAAGGGTTTGGTGGTGGCAGTCAAGACAAATTAGAGGGCTGGTTAGAAAGTTGAAGCTTTGCCAAATGAGTGACTGTTAAAGATACTTGTATGGCTTCCCTTATCATCATGGAGAGAGCAGCATGTTGTTAGGCAGACAAATTGGAAACATAAGACTGATCGATAGACATCATTTGCTAATAGCCTGAGCTTATGTCCAATGACCTAGGGTCTTAAGCCAAAACATGCACACTGAGGTACTATTTGAGCCAATGTCTTTTTTTCCACCCTTGCATACTTGGCACCTGATGGCCTGACTGGTTAATGTGTGCAGATTGTCATTGCAAGTGCTTTTATATCAAGCACCAGCGCTCAGCAGTTCTTTAGAAGGTGACTTCAGCATTTCTCCCGTGTATCTCATTTAGTGTGAAGATCCATTGTTGAATACAGTATGGTCTTGATCAAAGTTATGAAACTGCCCTTGTCTTAAACTGTCCTTGAGCTTTCATGGTTTTTTTCTCCAGTGAGGTGAAAAAGAACCCTCACAGAGGTCTCTTTATGCTGCATTTTACGTCAATGCACAGAGAATGGTGATGTGATGCATGCTGAACTCCGACACACACACACACACACACAAATTCAACGTTTTCCAATTTCCAATTCTATCACAGGAAACAGCCAAGAGTTCCCTGAGCGGTAACGAATTAGCCCGTGTTGATCATTTATGCAACTGCAAGTCGAAAACCCAAGCCCTTACTATTAGCAGAACTGCAAACAAAGCACATAGTCAAATTGCTAGCTGCTCTGACCCCGTTAGATTAATTCATTCATTCCTTTTTAACACTTTGTCAATAATTCCACCGTTTTTCAAAAAGGCGTACAACAAACATCATGATGCATAAATTAACTAGCGATTTTTATTTGGCTCTTGGCCTCCTGAAGAAAATACTGCCACGGCTCGGCCCGATTTGAGTTGTTAATCACACCAGAAGTGGAGGAAAGGTGTTTAATTTTCTCATTTATTAGCACAATGCTAATTATTTACATTTTAGTCAGAGCAGTTCATTCTATGAGGTAAACATATTTACTGGGAGTGGCAGAGGAAGGTGAAAAGGGACTGTGGGCAGACAAAAGGTGCCTTTTTGGTATTTTTAAATCACGGGGGTAGTTTTAGAGTTATGGTCGGGCAGTGTCTGCAGATACCTCTGATGTCATGACATATTGGCTGCTATGGAGGAGCACGACTGCACTAAAGAACTGTATATCATACTGTGAAGTAAGCAGGAATGTGTTCAAAAGGCCAGACAACTTTTTGTAACAAGACCACTGGTTTCAGAACTGCCGCTCAAGCGATGTCAGCTGCCCATACATTATGTTATTGGAGTTGAACCCGTTATCACCCCAAAAGGAAACGATAGGAGTTGCCAAAATATCCTTGAACAGTATTCAACTTCAAATTGCGCAGGATACTGTAAAATGGTAGTTTAGAAGACGGCATCATAAGAAATACAATTGAACAGGCAAGACAGCTGTTTGTCTGGCGTGAAAGAACAATGCTTTGACATACCTTAGATCTCTCAAACTCAAGCTGATTTTGTATCAAACAATCAAATTCTGACAAAGACCACACAGTGGATATATTTGAACATGTAGGCAGTGTCCTGCGGTGTTCTCTTTCAACTAGCTTTGTCTACGGAGTAAAATTAACAAGGGTATTGCTTTTCCCAGCACAAGAGCAATTTTGATTTCTCAGAGGACGGCAAAATTATGATCTCCTGAGCACCTTTTTGCCCCCTCAACAATACATTGTACTTTTCTCCGACAATGATTTCTAGGCTGCACGTATTGTCACATCCCATTATAATATTCAACATGCGTCCTCCGAGGCATGCTCCTGGCTATTGTGTTCGAGCAGGTAGCTTTTGACTCGCTTTAAAAATCGACTGATTTTCCATTCGACCTTGGAACGGGCTGTGGAATGTTCTGGAGAGGGAGCTACCTCGCTCAATTAATTCCTCTCCTCCACCTCATCCTCCTCTCCCTCCCTTCAAACGAACACCATTCTATGTAGCGTCCTTGTCTTTTTTACCGGTCTTCTTTTTACTTGGAATCTAAAACCATTTCTCATTATTTAATACAGTGTGGGCTATAACCAGTTGATTTAATGTCACATTTGATGTATTAATCCGCAAAGCTTTTAAGGCATTCTTCTTGACCAGCTTTCTTAACTGTATGCTCTTAAGTCATGAGAGGTGTATTTCAAAATAGTTGATAAGTTATACATATTTATTTTTCTTGTAATTCTTTTTAACAACCAAAAGTAAATAATTTGACTCACTGGTTTAGTATAACAATAGTCCTTATCATTTTGTTGTCCATAATTTAGACTTGGACTATCAGTATTAATTGATGGACCTGTTGAATTCACATTGAAACAAGTTAAGCTTATCTGATCACCTAATCATGCCTTATCATGAAGGTTATTCCATCATAAGACTTTTTTGTCTTATTTTTTATAATACCCAAAGTACTCCTTCACTAATACATGGAAGTCTTTATTTTCCTCATACTCACTCTGTGGCTTCTCTCCATTGTCCTCCTCTCTTCCTCCTCCCGCTTCTCTCTTCTCTCACTCATCTCATGCCTCTTATCATGGTCCTCATCTCTCTCATCGATCGTCTTTCTTCACCTTCTCTCTCTCTCTCTCCATCTCCTTCGATCTAACTGCATCATGTCTTTCCTCGCTCTGTCTCTTCTCCCTCTCTCTCCTCTCTCTTCTCTCCTCCTCTCTCCTCTCTCATCCTCTCTCTCTTCTCTCTCGTTGCTCCTCTCTCTCTCCTCTCTCTTCCTCTCCTCTGTCTCTCTCCTCTCTCTCGCCTCATCTCTCATCCTCTCATCCTCTCTCTCTCTCTCTCTCTCTCTCTCTCTCTCTCTCTCTCTCTCTCTCTCTCTCTCTCTCTCTATCTCTCTCTCTCTCCCTCTCCCTCTCACTAGTTGCCTTGTGATCAGTTACTTATTTCCATTTGTTTGCGGTGTGATTGATTGTAACTCAAGATGTTAATATAGCCAGTAGCGTGTGCACATAGCCAGTAGCGTTGCCCCAACAGGTAGCTCAATACGACGCAATGGAGCTAAAATTAGCAGTGTGCTACGCTATGATATCTATCGCCTAATGAGGAACACATATTCAAGGTTGTGTGAGAGTGAGTCTCTTTATGTAGGATGAGGAAACGGGATGCCAGCAAACTTTTAAGTGAACCAACCCACAGGGCATACCTAATTTCTTTAATGGCCAATGATAGAGAAGAAGATACTTAGGATACTTAACACCTTTGATTGAAGATGTATGCTAAACTGTGTGTTTGTGTCATGATGTATTGCTAATAACACTTAAACCTGTGTTGTCTTATGAAGGCCCCTTCCCCCTTTCCTTAATTACTCTGAATCGCCCCAAAGACACTCTCCAAGTTCATTATTTAGAAGTTGACAGTCAAACCTATGTGAATATCAATAGAATGGCATTCTATTTCTGTTCTTATGTCCTCATCACCAGCATTCAATCGTTCAAGTAAACCTTGGTTCAGGTTGGGACACTAACTTGAAGAGGGAAAGCTTTGAAGCTCAAAACGAAGTTCCTCATTTGTAATGAAGTCGAATTCCTGAAAAGGATTTACCCGCCGCAATATCCTCTCCTGCCAGATAACCAAAAGCATCGTTGGAAGGCAGCCACGACTGTTGTCAGCTGCACAGAGACAGCGGCTGCTCAAAGCTGTTTCCAGCCTGATGTGTGTCTCATGAAACTTTAATGAAGAGAGCACACCAGAATAGGTGGATTTTGTGAGAGGGAAGGAAAAAGACGCTAATTAGCTAATTATCAAGATGGGAAGAGCGAAGCTTTAAGGTGTGCTTCAGCCTCATTGGTATGCCAACCGCATTGGTTCTGTGTGCCATATTAGTGTTTTAGCGTTAGCTGTTAGCTTAACCAAGGTAAAGCAAAAGCCATTTTGGATGGGATATTTGACCCAGCGCTCTCTGTAAAAGCCTTCTCTCACTGTGAAAGGGAGTCAGCTTCCTTCTAAGCGCCTCAAAGGCCAGAAAAGCTGATGTAGGCCTTTGATTGTCTTTGTTTTGTTAAACAGAGAAAATGTTTGCTCAGGAGCAGGAGCTGCAGGAGTTATCTTGTCTCGCATCTCGAAGAACAGCGAGGGGAGCAGCCCCACTTTCTGATAGCAGCACTTTGTGGTGCAGCCAGAGGAAGAGACAGGCTTATGCAACGTGGCAGAGACACATGTACACTCTCTTGTCACACCATCCAATATGCACTTGTACACACGCTGAGATGCAGTACAAATTCTCAAAACACACCCCAAGTGTCAATTGTCTGAAAAATCTGTTATGTTTTGTGTCACAATTTTTGAATGCAGAGCCTTACTGAATATTGTGACTAGTGGTTATGTAAATGTTCAATCTCAATTTTCCTATTATTTGTATTATTTGATGGTTTCCGCAAAATATAACTCGGATGGAATCAGAAAATAGTATTATGTCACTGAATAACTGTTTAGAACATGACAACAGAATGAACGTAATGCACACATACACATCTCGATATGTCACTTTCCCTTGCACGCTCGCTATCTCTCTGTCTGTTTGTCTGTATGTCTGTCTCTGTCTCACTCTCCCACTCACACACACATTCTTGTTGATTCTAATCTCCTATTGATTGTGATTGTCTGCTGTCTTCCTTTGGCTCTCTCCTCTCCCACTCTTCTCACTTGCACTCAATGAGCTCACAGCTATGGTTTTCTCTTGGTTTTCACAGAGGACCAACTGCCCGCTGGTTTCCCCACCATTGACATGGGCCCCCAGTTGAAAGTGGTAGAGCGAACTCGCACGGCCACCATGCTCTGTGCCGCCAGCGGCAACCCTGACCCAGACATCTCCTGGTTCAAAGATTTCCTGCCCGTCAACACCACCAACAACAACGGACGCATCAAGCAGCTCAGATCAGGTAGGGTGTCACTGCCGCCACTGGAACTAAACCGGGAGTACTATTTTATATTTGCACCCCAATCCCTTCTGTTTCTGTTCTCTCGTTCTCCTCCTCCTCTTCTTCTTCTTTGGCTTTGATTTAGTAGGTAATGGCATTGTTTCTACTGCTGCTTCCTCCTCCTCAACTGTGTGTGTCCTGGTGTGGCTCGTCTGTTCCTCCCACCCCTGTCTCCGGTTTTGTCATGGCTCTGTCAATTATCTCCATGTTTGTTGCCGCTTCAGTCTGACTCTCATTGCTCACTGCTGTGACTGTTCTTCTGACGAGTTTCTTTTCTTTTGGTTTAGTTGATTCCCTTTGACTGCCTCGGTGCAGTGTTTGACGGATCCATTCTCTTCTTTTGATTTCCTCACTTCTTTTTCACTTGATTTCTCTTAAACAATTAATATTCAACATTGGGCTTCATTCAGAACTTGCAAATGAGAACCCGTGGTTTTTAGCAAATGAGTTTATTTTTAAGACTGCAAGAGAAAATTGCAGAACGGAGTGAGTAGGCAGACATTTAAGCTATTTCCTTTCTAATTCTTTGTCCCTTTGGTTGTGATTTAACAACAAAAGGTCATTTCAAACTAATAGTTGTACTAAAACAGAAAAGAAAAGCTAGCCGAACTTCGATGAAGGCAACCTTTCCTTCCGGAATGTTTTCCGGCCATAAGTAGCCACAGTAGTGTGTGAGAATTGTGTCTAGCTTTCCCAGTCCCTTGACTCTCTCTGAATATACTCACTGCTTTTCCACGTAGACTCCAGCTTTCGCTTCCCAATGCCTGTGGCTTATTCCCAATACTTCCTCATCCTGATTCCCTGAATATTCAAAGTTTCCTTTTGATACTGTATAGCATTAGAAATTCAGAATCCATCAGATATATGCTTATCGTTACTTAACTCGTAGTTTGGCTAGCAATATTTGCTAATAGCAAGCTGTTTAAGATTTTGCACTACTTCTGGTACACTTAGTCTTCTATGTTTGACCACCTGTCTTCCCAGATTCCACAGCTGTCCTTTGTTAAATTGTCTTGTTAACCCTCCTTTGCCTTGTTGTTGTCAACAGAAACTGTAAATTAACACTTTTTTTTATGTGCGACTTTCATTCTCCTGTGACGTAGAGTTGATAAAGCTTTAACTCTGACAAAAAAAAATGTAACTAAACCTAAGGAATATAATCATATTTTTATGCTGTCTTTCTTCTCTCCGTATTTAAATCTACAGAGTCCTTTGGTAAGTGCTTAATTCTGAAGCACACTTCACTCCCCACTAATTTTTCTTCATGTTATAACTATTAATAAAATGCATGGCATGCATTTTACTAACAGTTAGTGTAGACACACAGATAACCCTAGTGGCACACATATACTCCACCCCCCCCCCCCCCACCCCCCCCCAAAAATAAATAAATAAAAATAATAATAATTGTTTTCCTATAAGCCATATAGGCGCATTTTCCAGAGCACACACATTTCACCCAGCTTAAGCCCAGTATATGCCATATCCACCACCTTTGTAATATAACCTACCTATCTAGCCTCACTGTATGGTATCCTCTCACTCAATACCTCACCCACTCACCCACCTACCTACTCACTTACTCACTCACTCAATCCTGTATAGCCTACTAGCATTATAGAGATTTAAGCAGATGTTTAACGATTACTAGGAGGTCAAGCTAAAGGGTTCCAAGTCTATTAAATGAGTCTCTTCCCTCTCATATTCAAATGCCTCCAAGCCTTCCCTTCAGTAGATGGTCTTCAGAAGCCATGCCACTTCCAAAATGGCTGCTCCCCTGTGGCACACCACTGCACAAAGTTCTCTGACCTTCTCTGACCTATGATACCTTCCTATGATGAATCCTGTCTTTTTTTTACCAATAGAGTAGAGTTCTCTCTCTTTCTATCTCTCTCTCTCTTTCTCCTTTCTCTTTCCTCTAGTACTCATTATTTACGTACTCTGATAAGTCTAATTTGATTCTTCTTCCAAAGCCCCAAGACTCTATCTTCTCGTACTAATGCTTCTTCTTTCTAATCTTATTTGCATTCATATTATCCACCCAGGTGGTACACCAATAAGAGGTAAGAGTGCTGAACTGACGTTCACAGAATGAACAAAGCAACTTCATTCTTGCTGTCGTCCCATCCATCCGCCCGTCCGCCTCCATTTTTGTCCTGTTTCCCGACTCCGAATCCCATTTCATTCCCATGATCGACTTTCCTTTTTATTTGTCCTGTTCTGTTGACTTCATCCAATCTCCATTTTTTTGTCTATACTTTACTTCCTCCTTTGAATTTTGATTTGTAGAGCCTTTTTCAAAAAACTCAGTTGTGATATGCTTGCTCCGGCTCAAAGAAGCATATCCAATGACAACTTATTTTTTTCGAACTCAAATTTGTATTTCATTTTTTGGTTTAATTTTTGGCCATAGCGACTCATGTGTCCCTCTTTTTGTCCAACTAAAACAACCAAACATTTTTCCCCCTAGCTGCTCTTGTTCAGCACTAAAATTATGCACAGATGCTGTGGAATCACGCAGGCATGCTGAAGACAACATTGGCTTTCCTCTGCTTTTTTCTCCCAAAGAACTCTTTCTGTCTTTGCAAGTCTATTTTTTTATTTATTCTATTTGCTTTCCTCTCCTGTACCTTCTGTAAAAAAATAAAGTTTAAAAAAGCCCAAACAACTACTTTTTTGATAAAGTTTCTCCGGGTGCTTTTTTCTCTTTCACCTATTTTTCTTACTTTTCTTGGGTTTGAAGGCTATTTTGCTTTTTGACGTTTTTTTTATTCTTCAAGGTTTGGGGAAGGCAAACAGTTGAGTCTGGCGAGGACCTGGCAGGTCAATTTTTGCCGTTTGGGAGTTGGAGAGTGATTGATGCATAAGCCATTTTCCCTCTGGTCATATGACACCACACTGCGAATCCCATTGGTGGATTTTTATGGGTGTCTTTTGTAGCTTTCACAAGCTAACGCAGTCAGTGGTTGGTTGCCTTCTTGTTGGCTCAAGGCCATCATTTTGAATTTTGTCTTCTAATACAATTGCATTTTATTTTTCAGCTAAGGGTTGTCAAAAGGTTGTAAGTTGTGCCGACATACATTTCTTGCTCTTTGGAAAACATCTGCATGTCAAACATTTTGTGACAGAGGGTGATATATTGGTAATACGATATTATGATGAGTATTTTTTAAACATATCTCAGCGGCATTTTTCCCCCCCGTTTTTTGTAAGTGCAGCATTTTTCTAACCGACTTTGACTGGGTGAAGTCCTAAATCATTTGATTGATATTGGATCTGTGATTGAATATGCTAAAATTCATACCCAAATTTATTGTTTTAATTGTCCTCCCTTGTTATGCTACTTTTGTATACTGTAAACCTCTTTTGTTTGATCCATGCTTCCTTGAAGCAGTGTCACTCATCCCCCATATTGACAGTCCAGTGAAATGTTGTACATTGCAGGGCTTGCCCCTATCCCTCAAAGTTGAGCTATGCTATGACATATTTTAACACTGGCCTTAAAGTTGAGTGCCTTTTTAGACCCTGCAACATGTATGTAGGTTTGTTTGTATCCCCTGATGTCAATAATGAGGTAAATATTAAATATTTTTCCATGGTTGTTAAATGTACATTCTTTCCCCTAAGATTTCTGTAGGCCTGACAGTATAGCAATCTGACTGCAACTATCCATGATTACTATAATACAAATGTATTTTGCTAATAATGACAGAATATACGTAATAAAGATGTCTCATATTTAATACATCAGACTAGGGGAATGTTAGGGGAAAATCTGTCAAGTTACAAGAAGAATGCCTATTTGCTCAACAAATATGGTTGTGTTGGTCAATGGTAAAGTGAACTATCCTCTGTGCAAATGATCCCTACAGATACAAAAAATCCCTCTACGCTAGTTACAACGGTTGCCAATTTTACTCTGTACCCTCATCGATTAAAAAAAAGAGCAAGTCTAGGAGTGAGGGGGCCACAATGACATGTTGGCCCCTGAGCAGTCTAAAAGAGCAAGTCTAGGAGTGATGGGGCCCCAATGACATGTTGGCCCCTGAGCAGTTTTACAACAAGCAAGTTTTTTAATGATTGTCAACTCAATTCAATATGGCAGACACTTAACCAATGGTGTCCGGCACCTATTTTCTGTTCCCACGCAGGGGCCCTCCAGATTGAGCAGAGCGAAGAGTCCGACCAGGGGAAGTACGAGTGCATCGCCACTAACAACGATGGAACCCGCTATTCTGCCCCCGCCAATCTATACGTTAGAGGTAGGAAAGCAACAATCAAACAAAAACGGTATTCACCTTTGGAAGAAAACATTTAAGTGGTATATTATGGTATGGTATATTATAATACAACTGGTGAGATGGGTGTCGAAACTGGGTAATTCTGGGTACTGGAGTTACGGATCCAGTCCAGAGGTCCATGTCCAATGAGGTACTTGTAAGTATGGCTGTTTTGTTCTATTAGACCTACCTGCACTGATTTGAACCTGTGTGTTCTGTTTTGTGTTTTTCTGTTCTTTTCCCTAAGTCTAAATCCAATGACTTGACTGCTTGGTGTGTTTAACCTACTAATTGACTTTTACTCCTAAATGTACCTTGAGGGGAAATGGGTGGACAATCCCTCCACCAATCCCATCTATTCATAGTAGCAGATCCTCTCTGATCTGATTTCTCTTCTTCTCTTTTGAGCAACATTGGAAGGACACCTTTAACTCTCATCTCTCTTTGTCAATACAGTTTTAAAAGTGCTGAGATTATATTAAATAGTATTTGTATGTAGTTATCATTAAATAATTAATTTTAACGACGTGTTGAAAATTACCAAAATTTTATGTCTATGATTTAGTGTTGATAGCATCAGCACATACATATATTTCCAGTTTTTCTTAAAGGTGATAATTAATTGATAGGTAACATTGTGTATTGTGGCTTTCACAACACATTCTTGAGCTATCACAAATGTTTGTTCCAATTGTCATGAACTGTCCTGAGGTTCGGCCTGTCACTTTCTATGTGAAGTCACATTACATAGTTAAAGTCCAGTGGAATAAATGTTATTGTGTGTTTTTTGTAAATGCTCTACTGAAAAAATGAAGGTCTTATGTGATGCCATGTCCATTGCTACCTTTTCATAAAGATCAGTTGTTAAACAGCAATGGATATAATTTTTTCATTTTAAATGAAATAGTTTTTCATTAATTTAGTATGAATATTTTAATTGACAGCTGTAGCTATTTTTCTTTAAAAACTAAGATCTATGATTCTGTCCGAGTCTTGTGGTTTGCAGTGTCATCACAGATCATCAATTTAAAACACAGTCAATGACAATACTTAGAATGCTGAAAAAATATGAACTAATTCATATTTTATTGTGTGGAACAAACTGAAAGTGGATATTGACCAAATAAATGCACAGTGATGTCTTTCTGGATATCATATTATGACTTTTTGTATTGCTCATATTTTCAACATGCAGAACATTTGTATGTAAAACCCAACCTACGTACAGTTGAAGTCAGTTTTTCACAATTCCTGACATTTAATCCTAGTAAAAATTCCCTGTTTTAGGTCAATTAGGATTACCACTTTATTTTAAGAATGTGAAATGTCAGAATAATAGTAGAGAGAATGATTTATTTCAGCTTTTTTTCTTCATCACATTCCCAGTGGGTCAGAAGTTTACATACTCAATTAGTATTTGGTAGCATTGCCTTTAAATTGTTTCACTTGGGTCAAATGTTTGGGGTAGACTTCCACAAGCTTCCCACAATAAGTTGGGTGAATTTTGGTCCATTCCTCCTGACAGAGCTGGTGTAACTGAGTCAGGTTTGTAGGCCTCCTTGCTCGTACACTATTTTTCAGTTCTGCCCACACATTTTCTAAAGGATTGAGGTCAGGGCTTTGTGATAGCCACTCCAATACCTTGACTTTGTTGTCCTTAAGCCATTTTGCCACAACTTTGGAAGACCCATTTGCGACCAAGCTTTAACTTCCTGACTGATGTCTTGAGATGTTGCTTCAATATATCCACATAATTTTCCTTCCTCATGATGCCATCTATTTTGTGATGTGCACCAGTCCCTCCTGCAGCAAAGCACCCCCACAGCATGATGTTGCCACCCCCGTGCTTCACGGTTGGGATGGTGTTCTTCGGCTTGCAAGCGTCCCCCTTTTTCCTCCAAACATAACAATGGTCATTATGGCCAAACAGTTCTATTTTTGTTTCATCAGACCAGAAGTATGATCTTTGTCCCCATGTTTAGTTGCAAACCGTAGTCTGGCTTTTTTATGGCGGTTTTGGAGCAGTGGCTTCTTCCTTGCTGAGCGGCCTTTCAGGTTATGTCGATATAGGACTCGTTTTACTATGGATATAGATACTTTTGTACCTGTTTCCTACCAGCATCTTCACAAGGTCCTTTGCTGTTGTTCTGGGATTGAATTGTACTTTTCGCACCAAAGTACGTTCATCTCTAGGAGACAGAACGCGTCTCCTTCCTGAGCGGTATGACGGCTGCGTGGTCCCATGGTGTTTATCCTTGCGTACTATTGTTTGTGCAGATGAACGTGGTACCTTCAAGCGTTTGGAAATTGCTCCCAAGGATGAACCAGACTTGTGGAGGTCTACAATTTTTTTTCTGAGGTCTTGGCTGATTTCTTTAGATTTTCCCATGATGTCAAGCAAAGAGGCACTGAGTTTGAAGGTAGGCCTTGAAATACATCAACAGGTACATCTCCAATTGACTCAAATGATGTCAATTAGCCTATCAGAAGCTTCTAAAGCCATGACATCATTTTCTGGAATTTTCCAAGCTGTTTAAAGGCACAGTCAACTTAGTGTATGTAAACTTCTGACCCACTGGAATTGTGATACAGTGAATTATAAGTGAAATAATCTTTCTGTAAAGAATTGTTGGAAAAATTACTTGTGTCATGCACAAAATAGATGTCCTAACTGACTTGCCAAAACTATAGTTTGTTAACAAGAAATTTGGTAGTTGAAAAACGAGTTTTAATGACTCCTACCTAAGTGTATATAAACTTCCGACTTCAACTGTATAGCACAGATATGTTCATTGTTAGCACTCGATATAAGCCAACCACATGACTGGGACAGGATTATATGATATGCTAAACATAGCAAATTATTTCAGCCCTCAAAATGCTTAACATTTGAAGTTGGTGCTATAGGACCTCTGCCTCTAAACCAGGGTGTGAGGGAAATCTAGCGGACTCCCTGTCCCCATGTGCAGTTTGAAAACCTTGAACATGGACTTTTTACTCTCTCTATGTTTCCCTTGTTTTCTTCTCCTTTCCTCATTTCATTGTGTTCTGCATCAAACCCCCTACATCCCTCAGAGCTGCGAGAAGGTTGGTGTGTTTTTACTTTTATACAAAACTGAAACTAAAGAAACTCATTTATTGCAACCGTCAAAAAACACAATTCTCAAGAATACAAATCAAATCAATTTTTCTCTCTCGTTTTGTTCTCTTCTTGGTTCATTATCATTTATATTACCGATAGCCTTGAATTACTACTGTTGTTTCTGCTGCTCTGTTCATCTTTTCCATGAAGAATGCCCTTGGTCTTGGCTACGATGCTTGACTGTCCAAAAAGTGGTGCATGTCGTGGGAGGAACTGTGCATCTTTGGGGTGGTGGGATAATATTTGCATCTTCGTGGAGTATTTGCATGGTGACCTGTTTATGCTCAAGCTAGAGATCCCCCCCTCCCCTCTGCTGTCAGCCCCACCCCTACCCCTTACCCCTCGGTGTCCTTAGCTTGTCAGTGTTCCTGCTTGGTTACTCAGGGCAACGGCGTGACAATGGCAGGCGGCACAAAAAAGCACAGCGCCAACATGAGCCGCAGCACCGGAGCAGGAAGGGTGTCCTCCATCACTACAGGCTCCTGGAATGGAGCGCTGCCACGCTCTGCGGCCTGCCTAGCTAAGACTGGATGCACATTTTCCCTCTGTTGCTCTTCATCATAGTCTCAGAGAAAGACATGTTTTGAAAGCTATAAGCTAAATTCCCCTTTGTTATAATCAGTGGCGAGGTTTAAAGCTCAGCTGTTAGCCTTGTGAGATGAACGCTGCCTCTGCAAAGGATTTTTCCTACAGAGGTGATAATGAAAGAATGATGTATTTGGAGCATTAGCTGCAAGACTTGACAAATGTAATGATATTCAAATGAGTATGATAACATTATGTCTTGGGGGAGCGGGATCCAATTGGATATTAATTAAATATGAAGCGAGTGAAAAGTTGTATTTAATAATGCAAGGAGTTCTCTGAGATTCCTTATCTCTGGAGAGGCACAATCTGCTTAGCAGAATGTGCTGTATTAAATGTGATGGTGGTTGAACACATTAGCAAATGCTACATGTAGACGCAGGCTTGTAGCGTTAGCAAACAATGCTATTAGCAAACAATGCTATTTTAGCTAGCGCTCAGTTTTACATCACATCACGTTAATGTATATTAATGGCCACATACTGCGGGAAAACCCAATGGCTCTTGCCATTACATTAGTCAAGGCTCATTTTTTGTGCCCCATATTGGAGAGCTTGTTTAATTTTTATTAATAGTGATTGGGACAGTGGGAGTGTTTCACCCTTTATTAGTATCACGAGGTTCACCGCCAAAGCACCAGAGTGATTAATCTTTCCAAGGCGCATGGAAGAGCAAACAACATTCCCCAAATACTCCCACCATTACGCCTCTGCGTATCCAAGGAGATCGGCCTATTGGGACCTATATTCATTCTGAGTACTATAAGCAGTAACACTGACTTCATTCCTTTAATGTCATTTCACCCTAGACATTTTTTTTTTCATCCCCATTTTTTAATTCTACCCCTGCCCCAGCCCCTGTCCCTTAAATATGCTTACCCTATATGGTGTGTTTGAATCGTATGTGGTTAACTAACTTAGTCAAACCTCAGAAATCACATTGTGATTTGTGTTGAGTTGCTTCCGCCTCTCCCTGTCCTGTCCTGTCATAATGTAGCACTTCCCCTAATCTGTCCAGTGACGCTGTGCATTCGTCCTTCCCTGGCAACTCGAGCTTAATAATAGCCAGCCGTGTTTATTTCCCAGTAACCCAACGCTGCCAGCCTAAATCTTACCTCCCTCCAGCCAGCCTAACTCTAACCGCCCTCCCCATGTTTGATATCTGTTTTTTGTATGTCTGTGTTACTATTTATTTTCCCTCTCAATCTCACCTTCCCATTCCCAAACATGGTTGCCTCTCTAAGCCAGCTATGTGCTTGTGTGCATGACAGAGAGCCCATGCCCCCACGACAGGCTCCAGCCTTTTATCTCATAATGGATGCTGTTTACGTTTCTTTTCACTCTATTTGTTTTTCGATCGGTTTCAAATTTGGATATGTTTTTTCTTGTTGTTTCTACTCGAACATGGTTATTTTGGAATGTGTATCCACTTTTTTGATCTGAGAAGCAGAGTGGCACTCTATTCCATGTACCGTAGTTGGATGTGTTCCCACAATGGGCCGTAGTATGTGTGATGTGAGAATGTGACACGGCACATTTACCTCACATCAACTGGAAGAATGCAGCATTGAAGTTGTTCTCTTGTACACTTCACTCTGGAATGCTGTCGACCCTCCAGTTCCTCTTTGCTGTTCTCTTTATATCTGTATGGATGGTATCATTTGTGCATGGTGTTTGTGTGATCGTTAGTCTGTAGCTAGTCCCATCATTGAGCCATGCTAGGCCTGGACCGACTTGTGTGTGAAACTGTCTTTTTTACTCTCCATCCAACCATCCCAAAATAAAATATCAATTTTTAAATATATTACAATAGATATAAAAGTTACTTTTCGGGAAAGTTTGATTGTAAATCAAATGTTTTTGTTATCCTTCTGTAACTTATGAATCTGTTTTTATCTCGGCCGTTGATGGAAACCTTGGCCTTGTGCGGCTTGTACGAGTTGTTACCGCTGCCTATTTTATTTTGCAGTACGCCGGGTGCCCCCGCGGTTCTCCATCCCGCCCACGGATAACGAGATCATGCCTGGAGGCAGTGTCAACATCACCTGTGTGGCGGTGGGCTCCCCCATGCCCTATGTCAAATGGATGCTAGGAGCCGAAGACCTGACGCCCGAGGATGATATGCCCATTGGGCGAAACGTTTTGGAGCTCACTGACGTCCGCCAGTCAAACAACTATACCTGCGTGGCCATGTCCACTCTGGGGGTCATCGAGGCGGTGGCGCAGATCACGGTGAAAGGTAACGCACGTTTACTTCTTTCTGTCATGTTTTATTGGTCTCAGGAAGAGGGTTCCTAAAGCATGGGATGTGTTGACACCAGCCTTAGTGGATTAGATGCTAGATTGAGAATCAGTGGAAGGCTTATCTCTCAACCAGGTGAGTTAAACGGCAGAGCTCTATATCCCTGTTGGTGGTGTGTGTGTGTGTGTACGTGTGTGTGTGTACGTGTGTGTGTGTGTGCGTGCGTGTAACATGGTGGGTATTGTTTGGTCTTCTCAGTAGGCAGGGTACTTATCGGAGTGTAATCATCTCCTCTGATGCATACCAGGGAAAGAGAGATTCCAGATTGTCCTCCTCGTGTACACACATACACCAACACACAGAAGTACACGCACACACACGGCTTTGTTTCTCCCAGACATAACAGAGAGATATTAGTCACAATATAACCAAGGCTGCCAGGAACTTCCCCCAATTGTACAATTTAGATGGCATATAAAGAGAATGCATCACCCTCATATCTTTCGACTCATGTCACTGGTGTAGGTATTAAAGCAATAAATTAACGCACTACATTATTTAAGAGATACACATTGGAATTCTCTGGCTAACAGCAGAAAAAAGTATGTATTATGTTGTACTTGGGAAGCTTCCAGGGCTTTTGGCCTTTATCTGTTTAACAATAGTTCAAATATAGTTATAATGCACTGATGTGGCAAGGTAAAAAATGTATACACTGAGTGTACAAAACATTAAGGACACCTTCCTAATATTGAGTTGCACTCCCCCCTTTTGCCCTCAGAACAGCCTCAATTCGTCGGGGCATAATAGCAAGCTAGGACTGATGGTTTGTTTAGCTAAACTAGCAAGTCTGTTTGTTTTGTTACCATGGCAACTACTATAGCTATCTAGTGAACTTGCTAGCTACTTCCGTGGATGTTGAACACATTTCTACCAGCAAATGAACGCATTTCTAGTGGCAAATGTGTTCAATTATAGTCATGGTATAAAAGGGAAGGTCGTGGAACACACCTTCCACGTCATTCATTATTTTCCATAGAACGCATAGCCCCTCGTTGATTAACCCTTACATATGTATGTTATCTGTTTGTTATTCCAGCATTGCCCAAGCCTCCCGGCATTCCCGTGGTGACGGAGCGCACGGCCACCAGCATCACGCTGACGTGGGACTCAGGCAATCCTGAGCCTGTCTCCTACTACATCATCCAGCACAAGTCCAAGTTCTCAGAGGACACATACAAGGAGATCGACGGCGTGGCCACCACTCGCTACAGCGTGGGCGGCCTCAGTCCTTACTCGGACTATGAGTTCCGGGTGGTGGCGGTGAACAACATCGGGCGCGGGCCATCCAGCGACAGCATCGAGGCCAAGACGGCTGAGCAGGCCCCCAGCACAGCGCCCAGGCAGGTCAGGGGTCGTATGCTCAGCACCACCACGGCCATTATCCACTGGGACGAACCAGAGGAGGCCAACGGGCAGATTATGGGCTACCGTGTGTACTACACCATGGACTCTGCCCAGCATGTTAACACGTGGGAGAAGCAGATAGTGCGTGGATCAAACTTCCTCACTATTCAGGGCCTCATACCCAACAAGACCTATTACATTAAGGTCCTGGCCTATACGTCCGTGGGTGATGGACCTCTCTCTGCAGATCTCCAGATCATAGCCAAGACGGGAGGTAAGATATGTGTGTTGACAATTATGTTAACTCATATATGAGTTAAGCTATAAATCCTTGTAGGAGATGAAGCTCTGCAATCTTTGAGTTATGAGTAAACAAAGAAATCATCTAACTCTACAAGGGAGAGAGTATCAATGAGCTAATTTGACAGCCAAGTGTCTTTCTGGGAAAGCTTCACTCACTCCGTCTTTTTAGTCAGATAAAAGTATCCTCGTTTTTGACCAGAGCTGTAAACACATTTGAAATCTCTTTTGGCTCTTGAGTGCCAATCAATTTCTATTTCCATTTTGCATTCTGAATGACAAAGATCATAGTTGATTAAACATTATAAACTAGGTGGTTCGAGCCCTGAATGCTGATTGTCTGACAGCCGTGGTATATCAGACCATATACCACGGGTATGACAAAACATTTATTTTTACTGCTCTAATTACGTTGGTAACCAGTTTATAATAGCAATAAGGCACCTCGGGGGTTTGTGGTATATTTCCAATATACCACGGCTAAGGGCTATATCCAGGCACTCCGTCTTGCGTCGTGCATAATAACAGCCCTTAGCTGTGCTATATTGGCCATATACCACACCCCCTTGGGCCTTATTGCTTAATTATACAACGGGTGGTTTGGAATTCCCATTGTTAGAGCCTATCCTGACCATGATATAATACACAGCATACACATGGCAGGGTACATTCATAAAACGTGCCATCGTTTAAGTTGTTACCTAGCAACGCACTACTACTACTACTACTACTACTTTTACAGATCCACTGTCTCAACTTATAAACTTGATCACTGTAAAAAGTATCTAGACATTATCTGCGACATTTGCAATTCAGGCAGGCAGCTTTGCTCAGCCAGTCGAAATCATGAATCCACCACATATTTATTGATGTATACAAAGAAAAGTCAATAGAGAAACAGGTAAAACAAAACGAAATGCAGCTAGTTTGCAGTCTTTCCAGCTTCAGTATGAAGTGATTGTGTTAGCTGTGTAGTTGGCTAGTTAGCAAGGGGGGATGAGCCTCCATAGTAAACATTTTTGTTTGCCATAGCAACCTGCAAAGTTCTGGAAATATTAACCAGCGCTTGGGTAGTTTTGCTTTACATGGCAGTCAATACGAATAAAACTAACGACCAGAGAATGCTTAAAATTGCACTTAACAACCAGTGTTAGTGAATGTAGCAACACGTTTTGTTGAAAAACTGATGGTTTGGGAAATACTCTTGCTTTTTAATGCCGGTAACCCATTTTATAAAAGCAGTCCATGTGACATTTTTATCATGACTGTGGTGGTCTATCCTACTCAGTTTCGCCCCGTGGCTATGACAACGTCCCAGCCATGGTAAAATATTAATAACACATGGCCTCTCATGTATTATTGCTTAAGTATAAAATCAGACTTGAGACCTTGAATACTTCTTGAGAATAATTTAGACTGTCAATCAAATATATTTAAACTTGTTTTCCTCAAAATATTTTCTAATCCAATATGATGAAATTGTGTCTGTTTAGAGAAATAACAGTAATAGCATAGTAATAACAGGTAGTTGCAATCACAGGTAATAGTAATAATGTATTAATAACAAGTTACTACTAATGTTATTAGTAGTAAGAATAGCCACAGTAGTGCCAGCAGCAGCACTCGTCAAATACATTTTAGCAGCAATATGGTGGACGTTGCAATGAGTATCATTGGTTTAGTGGACCAAATGTGTATTTGTATTGCTTTCCCAGTCCCCTCTCAACCGACCGACTTCAAAGGGGAAGCCAAATCCGAAACGAGCATACTACTATCGTGGATAGCCCCAGCTCAGACCGGACAAGACAATCAAATCATGGGATATGAACTTCTGTACAAGAAGGGGGATGACAAGGAAGAGGTAAATGGTTTCTCAGATTCAAAATACAGGTATACCGTCCCAAATGTATCTTACGTCCAATGGTACACCTTTTCTTGAAGTCCTGAACTGATGACATACCATTTTCTCAACAGAAACGCATCAGCTTTGAGCCTACCACCACGTACCTGCTGAAGGACTTGAAGCCCTTCACTACTTATACTTTCCAGCTAGCCGCGCGCAGTAAGCACGGTATCGGGGCCTACACCAATGAGATCTCCGCAGAAACCCCTCAAACACGTAGGTCCTCTTCCATATCTCAGCTCTGGCCAGACAGTTTACCACTGGATGTGGAAACTCCTTGGAGAGAAAATACATTCTTACATTTTCAAACGCATCTACCTTTGCCAATTTAGAATTGCATCCGCTAATTCCAATACCTTTTGCCAAAAACAGGTCAATGACATGATAAAAAATAAATGTCATCGAAAGAGGTGAATGACTCTTGATAAAAATAAATGTCATCGAAAGAGGTGGATGACCTTGAAAATGGACTGGTTCTGCAGCGATTGGAGCTGAAACTGAGTGTTTTGATGTCTACCTGACAATGCACCTATTTGATATGGCTGCATGGACAGTGTTCACCAGGGCTCTCCTGTGAAGTCAACAGACAAGGTTACACTACATACAGAATCTAGTCCTCTTCAACACCTTTGATGTGCAATACATCCCAACCAATAATAGAGCTTTGAATTATTCATTCAAATGTATATTTCGTCTTTATCCGACTGTCTGTTGTTTTTGATTAACGGAAGGGCATGTTATCCCACTATTGGAAGCCTTGTCTCTTGACTTTGCGTATAAGCCACGTCAGAGTATTTGCATATTGAGACTGAGCTTTCTATGGAAATAAAATTCTGCCCATTTTATCTGGAGATCAGAGGGGTTTTCCTTTCTCAGTAGCATAATTGGTGATGCGAAGCCCTTAACAAAAAAATTTAAAACAAACAATTGGATGGACTACAAATTCCAATAGAAAGCTCAAAAGCAAGTAGTATCACTGAAGATAGAGAATTACCTTATTACCACACAATAAGACCTCCGGTTTAATGAAATGACAAAAGTATTGACCAATTTGTCAAGGCACCAAATTGAAGCTAAGTACAAACAAGTAGTGTATTGACTATTAGAAAATAGAACATTACATTTCAAAAACTGATTTGAATAAAAATATATATATATTTCAAATAAACCGGAGGTCTGTGCAAGACAAAAAGGCAGAGAACAGGTAGGTATTAAGTTCAAAAAGTCCAAACTCGATGGGAGGTACCAAGAAAAGATGTCTGCATGCCAATGTGTTGAGACTTTCAAAAGTCAGTCATATCTCCTTGGGAAGTTCTCTGTTGTACGATCAGGCTTTTACCACAAACCAACAGGCTTCGGAAAGGTTGGTGACCAATACAACTTTTTACACTTTGCTAGAGTTGAACCGTCAACCTTTATGTTTTTGGATTCGTGGTAACTGCTTGGCAAATGTATGATATTTGGTTGAATTTATTAGGATTTTATGTGATCAAGTGAACTTTTACTGAGCAGTAATTAAAAAGTTTAAATTAAATTTGGGCTTAGTCTCGGTTATAAGCCGAAGATATGAATCCCTAGAGTGATAATAGTTTTTAGGAAATAATATGTAATTTTTTATTTACTAAGGTAGGTTACATATTGTGAAGGTGTCCTATTATCTCATGACAACCCCATCCATACATCCTCAGTGTGTGTGATTTTATGCATTGAGTTTACCTTGTTTTAAAAAGTGTTAGTCTTTTGTCTTTGCCTTTTGTCACATCTTGATTGTGAAACCTCATTGACTTTTGATACCACTTCTTTGCAAACATTGTTTCAGTGCTTCGTCCTCATTTTGTATCATATTTATTTTCCCTTTCCCTTTTCTTTATTGTTTGTTCATTTCCAACACCATCAACTCCACCCAAAAAAAACTTCAACCTACCTGTGAAACCCCTCCTCGAAACAAACAAAATGAAACAAAACCCCTACTGAAATGGTTGATCCAATCAAACAAAACCCTGCTCCTCCTCCAATCCACTCCTCCTCCAATCAGAGCCCTCAGCTCCACCTCAGGATGTGAAGTGCTCTAGCCCCAGCTCCACCAATATCCTGGTAAGTTGGCGGCCGCCCCCTATGGAGTTACAGAATGGGATCATAACTAAGTATGCCATCCAATACGCTGCCACTGAAGGGGAGGACACCACCACCCGAAAAATATCCGGCATCCCTCCAGAAAGCTCCCAGTACCTCTTGGAAAACTTGGAAAAATGGACGGAATACCGTGTGACAGTGACTGCTCACACAGATGTGGGTGAAGGACCTGAAAGTTTACCACAGCTCATCCGCACCGAGGAGGATGGTATGTTTTTCCGAAGCCGCTGCCCCCGTTGCAAACCCAGTCTGCCCTCCAACCTCTAACCCCCTTCAGATACTGTCTAACAGCATCTACAGTCCCTTTGACCTAGCATCCCTCTCTGCTTCTTCCTCCTGCTTCTAACAAAGCTGACAACACTCCTAACTCTCATTATGATCCCACTTTTACTAACTTGGACTACTTCCGTGCAACTTTTTTTTTTATTAAACCGATTGCAACTAACTATTTTTTAAAGCTCATTTAACTTTTTGTCAGTATTTTTTCTGCCTTTATCCCCTAATACTCAATTTCAACATTTGGTATGGCATTTTCTCCTGCATCGAAGCACTTCAGGCCTTTGACTTCCAGTCCCAAACTGTCTTTTTTTTTTTTATGTATGAGAAAAAAACGTTTGATTTTAACTTTTTTTTTATGAATTTGACTGAATGCCAAGTTATGGACAGTGGAAAGGGCACAAGTTGGAAGGTATATATATTTTTAAATGGCCAAGAATGACAATATTTCTTTTCACTTTTTCTTCACGCTTCATAGCCAAAATTCTTGCAGGGTGCTTCAAGCTTTTGAAGCATCCCCTTTGGCTCCTATTTTCAATTTTAACAAACACATTTTTATTCCATGTTTTTAATCCACTACTCCCATTTTTGAATGTTTCAAGATTAGGTCAATTGTCAGACCTGTTTTTGGGGTTGTTTTTCTTTTCCCTTGCCATTGTTGAAATATTGATGTCATACAGTGCTTGTTGCAGTATGCTCCCCTTTTGTAGATTTTTTCACCCCAGCATTTTGCTCTTTGGAGTTGGCCAGAAATTCACAGGGGAGAAGGGGTCCTCTATAATCTTGACCTTCTTTTTTTATCCCATGGTGTTCCTCCAGTTCCCAGCGGCCCGCCTCGTAAAGTCGAGGTGGAGACTGTCAACTCCACGTCAATAAAAGTCATCTGGCGCTCGCCGATGCCCATCAAGCAGCATGGGCAGATCCGAGGGTACCAGGTGCACTATGTCAGGATGGTTAATGGGGAGCCCATGGGACAGCCAGTCATCAAGGACATCTTGATTGACGATGCGCAGGTAAGCACCCTCCTCCGCCTTCCGCCCAAAACTCACAGGTTCTCTCACCTTGAGAAGTTCTCTGACACAAGGACAGTCCACAGAGCATAAGAGTCACACATGCCAGAGTGAAAATACATGGACATGCTATTAAGCAGTAGAAAATGTTGTTAAAACCACACGTTTTCCCATTAAATCCTAATGACACAAATTAGTTGTTCTCAGGATCTTTGAAACTGAGTCACCCATTGAGTAAATCTATGATAAGATAGCTACACATTCATACATTGGTGTGCATGTCTAGGAATAGACCTACACAGTATGTGACTCACCCTCTGTTACTCTCAATATCTGGTGGAGACAATCACACAAACTACAGTGCATTCGGAAAGTATTCAGACCCCTTGACTTTTTCCACGTTTTGTTACGTTACAGCCTTATTCTTAAGTGATTGAATAATTTGTTTTCCCCACATCAACCTAACACATAATGACAAAGCAAAAACTGTTTTTTAGACATTTTTGCAAACTTAGGAAATATCATATTTACATAAGTATTCAGAACATTTACTCAGTACTTTGTTGAAGCACCTTTGGCAGCGATTACAGCCTCGAGTCTTCTTGGGTATGACTCTACAAATTTGGCACACCTCTATTTGGGGAGTTTCTCCCATTCTTCTCGGCATATCCTCTCAAGCTCTGTCAGGTTGGATGGGGAGCGTTGCTGCACAGCTATTTTCAGGTCTTTCCAGAGATGTTCGATTGGGTTCAAGTCCGGGCTCTGGCTGGGCCACTCAAGGACATTCAGAGACTTGTCCCGAAACCACTCCTGCATTGTCTTGGCTGTGTGCTTAGGGTCATTGTCCTGTTGGAAGGTGAACCTTCACCCCAGTCTGAGGTCCTGAGCGCTCTGGAGCATGTTTTCATCAAGGATCTCTCTGTACTTTGCTCTGTTCATCTTTCCCTCGATCCTGACTAGTCTCCCAGTCCCTGCCGCTTAAAACATCCCCACAGCATGATGCTGCCACCACCATGCTTCACCGTAGGGATGGTGCCAGGTTTCCTCCAGACATGACGCTTGGCATGCAGGCCAAAGAGTTCAATCTTGGTTTCATAAGAACAGAGAATCTTGTTTCTCATGGTCTGAGAGTCCTTTAGGTGCCTTTTGGCAAACTCCAAGGGGGCTGTCATGTGCCTTTTACTGAGGAGTGGCTTCTGTCTGGCCACTCTACCATAAAGGCCTGATTGGTGGAGTGCTGCAGAGATGGTTGTCCTTCTGGAAGGTTCTCCCATCTCCACAGAGGAACTCTGAAGCTCTGTCACAGTGACCATCGGGTTCTTGGTCACCTCCCTGAACAAGGCCCTTCTCTCCTGATTGCTCAGTTTGGCCGGGCAGCCAGCCCTAGGAAGAGTCTTGTTGGTTCCAAACTTCTTCCATTTAAGAATGATGGAGGCGACTGTGTTCTTGGGGACCTTCAATGCTGCAGACATTTTTTGGTACCGTTCCTCAGATCTGTGTCTCGACACAATCCTGTCTCGGAGCTCTACGGACAATTCCTTCGACCTCATGGCTTGATTTTTGCTCTGACATGCATTGTCAACTGTGGGACCTTATATAGACAGGTGTGTGCCTTTCCAAATCATGTCCAATCAATTGAATTTACCACAGGTGGACTCCAATCGAGTTGTAGAAACATCTCAAGGATGATCAATGGAAACAGGATGCACCTGAGCTCAATTGTTTATTTTATTTTTTATTTGCAAAAATGTCTAAAAACCTGTTTTTGCTTTTTCATTACGGTGTATAAAAATAATTTGATCCATTTTAGAATAAGGCTGTAACGTAACAAAGTGTGGAAAATGGGAAGTGGTTTGAATACTTTCCGAATGCACTGGTGCTTTAATTGAAATGCGATGGATCACACATCTGTAAATGCAATGGAACTGACATAATCAATAACTTATTGGTGGTCAGTGAATGACATCTCTTAGGGGTAAAATCATCCATCAGTATATGTGTCTTGTCTGTCGCTTCTCCTCTATCACTTTCTCTATCATCTACTCTCTCACTAGTGACCGGTGACTCTGTACTTAGCCGTTGTTTTGTTTTCGCTCTTATTTCTCTCACATCTTAATCAGTGGGAATATGATGATTCAACTGAACATGTGAGTAGATACAGAGACCTGATACAGTGTTAATCCCGTTCCCCCTTCGTTGCCCTGCATGCTCTGTGTTTCCTCTGTTCGTGACCTTCGCTTGGTTTTGACTGTATTGAACCTCACATAACCTCCTAACTGTTCTGAATCCCACTAAGACAAAACGAGAAAACATACACTAACTACTTGTTTTCTACTTGTAAATTGATATGGAATGGCTTGACTAACAGAAATCCATAGCCAACATTACGAGGCTATTCATAAATGCTTACCGGTGTTGATTATAATAAACAAGCTTTTTGAAAGTGGACCAAGTTTCAAAAAGATAATACTGTATGTTATCATTTGTACTGCACTACTTACACCCTCGCCTTTTCAATGCATGGAGTGACCTATGCTGACACATGTCCACCAGTCCAGATTGTTTGCATGGAGCGAAGGATCGTATGCATTGAGCAAAGGATGGTGGACTATATAGTGGCAGGACAGATTTGTACCAACCATGTTCATTGCCAGGCATTTACTAATTAGTGAGCGAATATCTGTGAGATAATGTCCTCTGAATTAAATACAGCATAAATGCATGCGCAAAAATGTGACCCCCACCACTAAACATTCCCGTAAAAATGCACAAATTGCAGCAAAATCCCTAGAAAGAGTTCTAAAAAATCCCTATTCTTATAATCTACAGGAAATGGTCATCACAGACCTGCAGGCTGAGACCATGTACTCAGTTGCTGTGGCAGCCTACACAACAAAGGGAGACGGAGCTCGCAGCAAGGTCAAGCTGATCACCACCACTGGCGCAGGTAAGGGAACTGTCATCACTGACAAATCTCCCCCTGCCCCTCTGCTAATGTACCCTGTGATCATCCAAAAATGCATTTGTGCTGTAGAGAGCTGTGAAAATTGCACCCAGTGAAAGGAAGCAAAATAAATGCTAATCGACCTTTCCCCCCATGGCTATTAAAATGTGAATGCAGCTAATTGCCACCTCAATTATGACAACAATTGTAATTCCGCTCAGCCGCCGCTTTGACATTGGAATGCTCACTGGGGTTAAGGAACTAATGGAGAAATCAGTTGGGGAAATCTGGGAAGAAAAATACACCCAAATTAATGGCAGCCCGATGTTCTGTTCAGCTCTCATTGGTTTCTTATGAGAGAGATGCATGACACAATCCAAATGGCAGTTCAGAAATACTTTGTTGTGTGTGTGTGACATATAATTGCGCTGTCGTCTAATCTGTCTGTAAAGCCTTTCAAGCTCCACCTGCCTCCACCAGCGTACAGAGATAGACGGCTAGTGTTTGTGTGTGTGTTGGGGGGGGAAAGGAGCCTTCACTCAGTAAAGGCTTAAGAGGAATGCTATATTGGTTAGGTATCAAAGCAAACAGCATTCATGCAAACAGGGTGTTAGCTATCTACTGCTCCCTTGGTAGGTTAAGACTACTCATGAAGTCATAACAGCATCAGACAATGACAACCCTTTACGCTGTAATGAGTGGGAAAGGAGATCAGATTTTTTCATGCATTATGGGTTGGGTTGTTTTGGGATGTCATCATACTCTCATAATTGTCATAATGTCTGTTGGATATTGCTTTTTAAATGCTATGGCAGTTTGAAGGGGTTCTTTGCATGGTATTTGTATTAAAAATATATATTTTGTCACTGCTCTTCTCTTAGTACCTGAAAAACCACGACTCATGGTCAGCCCCACCAACATGGGCACTGCCCTCCTCCAATGGCACCCCCCGTCTTTAACCCACGGCCCCCTGCAGGGCTACCGCCTCCGCTTCGGTCGCAAAGACGTCGACCCTCTGACCATCATTGAGTTCCCAGAGCGCGAGAACCACTACACCACCAAAGAGATCCACAAGGGGGCATCATACACCTTCCGCCTGTCCGCCCGTAACAAGGTGGGCTTCGGCGAGGAGACGGTCAAAGAAATCAGCACCCCTGAAGATATGCCTAGCGGCTTCCCACAAAGCATTGCAGCCGTGGGCGGCACTACCACCACCATTCAGGTGAGCTGGAATCCCCTGTTACTGGCGGAGAGCAACGGCGTTATCGTGAAGTACGCCCTGCAGTACAAGGACATCAACAGCCCTCGGAGCCCCTCGGAACTCTTCATCATCGCCCCGGAGTCCACCGTCACCCTTGACGGCCTCAAGGCAGACACTACTTACGATATCAAAATGTGTGCCTTCACCAGCAAAGGCTCCGGCCCCTATAGCCCCAGTGTCCAGTTCAGGACACAGCCCTTGGATCAAGGTAGGACCCCACCCCAATTCAACCTCCCGCCCACCAATCCAACTTCACCCCACCACCAACAGCAACCACCTCGTCAAGCCAGAGTGGCAGAAGAACAAACAGATTAATCCGATCTCAGAATTGTTTTAAAATCATCTGTATGTATACATAGCCCTCCCTCCCCATAAGAAAGAAAGATATCGTGATCAGGTGGAGTAAGTATATGTGTCCCATGTGTTGTCAGCCAAGCCAAAGGTGAGCCTGTAGGTTAAAGCTGCTTTTAATAAAAAGGTAAGATAAAAGTAAGCTAAGGTAAGATGGGAGTACTGTAGCCCTGCTAAAACCACTCTAGTGCTGGTTTCAGACTGGTTGTAAAGGGAAACATGGTCAGGTAAGAGGTTTGTTGCTCTGGAATCCTTTAAAGAGGGTTGTGTTTGGTTCGTGTCTAATTAATCTGCTTCCCCTTTCTTTTAGCAGTGTTTGCAAAAAACTTTCATGTGAAAGCTGCCATGAAGACATCCGTACTCCTCACCTGGGAGATTCCAGACAACTATAATGCAGCTCAGCCCTTCACAGTAAGAACTTTTCGTATTTCAATCAACAATGTTCGAGGACAGCATTCCAGAAAATATTAAGTGACATCAGCCAAAGATATAGTAGTGTTATACCATGGCATTGTTGAATACTCGTTTCTGATTGTCTTGAAGGGCATTCTAGAGTGTGCATTATTTCCCTATATATGCATTATTTCCCGAAAGCAAAAGTTGAATAAAAACATTATTGGCATTGTTGAATTTGATTTTCATAATAGCAAGCTATTGCTGATTGGTTTGGTTAGCTAAACTAGCAAGTATGTTTGTTTGTTACCAAGGCAACTACTGTAGCTACACTACATGACCAAGTTGGTCCCCCCTTTGCTTCTATAACAGCCTCCACTCTTCTGGGAAGGCTTTCCACTAGATGTTGGAACATTGCTGCGGGGACTTGCTTCCATTCAGCCACAAGAGCATTAGTGAGGTTGGGCACTGATGTTGGGCAAATCATCCCAAAGGTGTTCGATGGGGTTGAGGTCAGGGCTCTGTGCAGGCCAGTCAAGTTCTTCCACACTGATCTCGACAAACCATTTCTGTATGGACCTCGCTTTGTGCACGGGGGCATTGTCATGCTGAAACAGGAAAGGGCCTTCCCCCAAACTGTTGCCACAAAGTTGGAAGGACAGAATTGTCTACAATGTAATTGTATGCTGTAGAGTTAAGATTTCCCTTCACTGGAACTAAGGGGCCTAACCCGAACCATGAAAAACTGCCCTAGACCATTATTCCTCTTCCACCAAACTTTACAAATGGCACTATGCATTGGGGCTGTTGGCACTATGCAGTTCTTCTGCTAACTTTGTTTCCAGAGGCAGTATGGAACTCGGTATTGCGTGTTGCAACCGAGGACAGACGCTTCAGTACTCGGCCCGTTCTGTGAGCTTGTGTGGCCTACCACTTCATGGCTGAGCCGTTGTTGCTCCTAGACATTTCCACTTCACAACAACAGCACTTACAGTTGACTGGGGCAGCTTTAGCAGGGCAGATATTTTATGAACTGACTTGTTGGAAAGGTGGCATTCTATGACGGTGCCACGTTGAAAGTCACTGAGCTCTTCAGTAAGGTCATTCTACTGCCAATGTTTGTCTATGGAGATTGCATAGCTGTGTGCTCGATTTTATACACCTGTCAGCAACGGGTGTGGCTGAAATAGCCGAATCCACTAATTTTAAGGGGTGTCCACATACTTTTGTATATATAGTGTGTCTAGTAAACGTGCTAGCTACTTCAGTGGATGTTGAACACATTTCTACCTGCAAATTAACGCATGTCTAGCGGCAAATGTGTTCAATTATAGCCATGGTATAAAAGGGATAATCATCTCGGGGCTGTATGTGTTCTCTGGAAAATATTCTAACTCCGTGGAAGGTTAGTTCAACTCCACTAGCAGGTCATGGAACTCACCTTCCATGTCGTTCATTATTTTCCATAGAATGCATAGCCCTTCGTTGATTATCACTTACAATACAGATCCAGACTAAACAGACCTCAAGTGTCGAATTAGTGCATATCCTCAACATTCACACACTCTTTCCTTCCATCGCACATCCAGATCCTTTATGACGACGGCCAGAGCGTGGAGGTGGACGGCAAGCTCACTCAGAAGCTGATCACTGGTCTGCAGCCCGAGACACAGTACTCCTTCCTGCTAACCAACCGGGGCAACAGCGCCGGCGGTCTCCAGCACCGCGTCTCCACCATGACCGCCCCTGACATCCTGCGCACCAAGCCCTACCTGATCGGCAAGACCAACTTGGACGGCAAGGTCACTGTAGAGCTACCCTCAGTCCAGACTTCAGAGAAAGTCAGGTGAGTGGCGGGGATTAAAACTAATGCTAACACTAATCGCTAATTGCAGACTTGTACTTATAGAGCTGACTATTTAGCCTAATTTGATTTCACTTAATTAATGTGCCTCGGTGGCTGACCTAATCCGTTTATTTACCTTCAGCTCATCTTTCGGTTCAATTATATCAGCATGATACCATTAAAGCTTCTTTCTCCTTATTGCTCAATGTCACTCACGTTGCTATTATATTATCTGCATAGTTGCACTTAATAACTGAAAGGGACAAGATTTTACACAGATTTCTCACCACTTTTTGTTTGTTGGATAGTGTTTGAAAGGTCAGAACATCAGCACTGAACATCATTGCTTTCTTTAGAATTGAACCCTGTATTTTACATTAATTGCATTGTATCAAGCCTGTTCCTCTTGTTCTCTCTTCCTCAACACAGAGAGGATGACACCATGAACTCTCCCATCCAAGTTATCCCACTCCCCAGTATTAGGTCTTGTAATGTCTCTCCCTGCCATTCCAACTAAGCCCTGGGTTGTCAAAAGGCCAACACGCAGATCCAATTGTAGACTGGCATTTCAAACCCATTTCGGGTTTTGATCTTGCTGGATGCGCTCGGGCCCACTCTCCCCCGTGCCAGAGCTTAAGCTAATTAGCTTCCCATTAGCCTGCCACACTGCCTTCCTGGCTAACGCTAGCTAGCACTGTGCCCAGCCAGGAGAAGCCCTCAAAAAAGTCTGGCAGAGGCTATTATCTTCCTTGCCGCCCAATGGAGGGATGAAAATCCCTCTAATTCCAGCTCCTCTTCTCTCCCTCGCGAAGGGCTGCTAATTAGCCCACGGCGTCCTCAGCGAGGTGTGACAGTGTGCCCGACTTTTCTGATCATGCTTCAACTAAAAGACAAACATGGAAGAAAACCAACTCTTAATGTAATGATAGCGGGCTAGAGTAACTTGTTAATGGCGCGATCATTTGTCGTCTTTGTCTGTTGTCCTCAACACCCCCTACCCTGTTACACCTACAGGATTAGTGCGAAGACCTCAACATAAAGACTTGTTATGGTGCCCATGGAGACTAAACATTGTTGTGTCTGAAGCGGAAATCTTTGATCTTGGTTTGTTTAGTCGAGGCTCAGCATGTGACCATATAAAAATTGTGCATCGTAAACATATTCTGGAGTGAACTGACAATGACCTTGAAAAGTGTTGTTTTCTTTCTTTCCCTCTCATTTCCAGGGGATACTACATAGTGGTGGTGCCTCTGAAGAAACAGCGCACAGGAAAGTTCCTCAAACCCTGGGACAGTCCAGATGAGATGAACCTAGAAGAGGTAGGTACCACAAAAGAGTCCAAGAAATAAATACAAATTCCAAAAAGTCCTTATTAGACATTACCATTCAATTCCTGTTGTGGATTCTCAATACTGACTGAATTACAATGGAATTGTCTTCAGCCCAAATCCAGTAGAGACTGCCTAGGTCTCATCACTCTCTCAAGTCTTACTTAAAATGAAAGGTGGTAGGAAGAACTCGGCACTTAACTCTGCAGATAGGAGAGGATGGGGGTGGGGAAAACTGGGGACAGGGCTCGTTGATTGATGCAAATAGCTGCAGAGAGCATTATTCATATGGAAATGAGGTAGAACATGGAGTAGTCATCAAGTGCACTGCAACTCAACCCCCCCTTTCCCACCCCTCTCTCCCTCTCAACTGAAATTACCCGAAGAGCTGCATCAGGCCTGTGTGTCTGTCCTTATTCAAGGGAAAGGTATCACACTGGTTATGCACAAAAGTACTTGACAACATTTATATTTAGCCGGTCTAGGTATTTGAGAAGCTTTCATGCACTGTGTATGCTCAGGTACAGTAGTGGAGAAAGCTTACGTAAGGATTTTGCAGTCAAACCGTAAAGTGTGCATGCTCTTTGTGATGCGTCAATCGCATATAAACAATCTCTCAGCTATGTTAACGACCCTCATCACATCACACACTCACCTGCCTAACACATGTGAAACATTCCTAACACTCATAAGATACTATGGATGGCAGTAAGTGGGTCTCCAGATAGCGCTTCCAGAAGTGTCTTTGAATTCCCTCTATCCAGGACATACTGCTGTACAATTAAAATGCTCTTTCAAAAGCACGATTCAGAAATCCAGTATCTGCAATTGATCGAAACCCAACATAATTGTGAACAGAATGGTTTTAGCACCTTTTGCATCACTAGACTTTTGGTGTAAGTAGATATGAGATGGCTTAGGTATAGATTCAAATGCATTAAATACTTTACTTTTCATTGTGAGTAGGTACTTATTAGGATGATTTATTCCTATTACGGTAAATAGAGCAAGCAAAGACATAATATGAGCATTACTTTTTCTCTGACGAGAACCATGCTGTTGTCTCGCTGAGTCTCATCTGCCGATTTTGGCTGTGTGCACAGGCCCATGTGTCACGCCTTGAACGAATACCCAAAAGTCGCCCCCTCCCGTCAGAATTGATTTGTTTGTCAATATCGGGCTCTCACCTTTTCCCAACTTTTCCCAAGGGCGGCTGGATTTAGCCGTGTTGACATGAGAAATGATTGAAGACATTATCGGACAGTGCCACCGGCCCTTGTGCCAAAGCCAGTGCAGACAATTGACAGGCGCACACACACTCCAGAGAGAGAGAGATATGGAGTTCTGACTGAGTAGCAGGATTGGCTCACGTTGATACGATGTCTAAAACCAGATAAATCAAGCAGACATGAAACCAATAGATGTTTCACACCATTACATACATTCACTTAATCACTTATTTATGTCAGTTTTCATTGGGCATGAATCAGTGTTATCTTGTAACCTATAGCAATAACACTTGAGCATAGAACTGCATACCATTACACTTTCCCATAAGAGCAAGCCAAGTTCTGCCTTTTTTGTGCGGAAGCAATCACATTCCCATTGTAAAAGTGTGACCTAATTCACATTCTGACCAGGTTGCCCGGTGTTGCTAGTGGGTAAATAATGGTTGGTCGTCCTATTAGTGCAGTGCAACAATGCAATTTGAGACATGTGGGGGAGGAGGGAGCGGAGAGGGGGCTAGCCTGGTGTTAATATGATGAAGCAGCATTTTTCTGTTATGATACAATCCAGTCGTCTTGGGGACTCACCCCCATCTTTTGATTTGAATGTTACGTAAGGCTCCTGGCCACTTACAAAATGAGAGTGGTGGTGGTGTGTGTGTGTGTGTGTGTGTGTGTATGTGCTGCTCTAAAGCTCTGGCCCCCATTCCATCTCGCTGTCTTTTCCTGCACTCAAGTCCTCTACTATTTCCAATAGCTGTTAGTGTCATGATTCCTCTGTTGACGCAGATATAATAATGACGATTTTTTATCTGTGGTTCCTGTCGTTTTCTGTCTAAGTGCTGCAGCGATTCCTTCTGTGTGACCAAAATTGTCGGTTTTAGGAACAAACTAAATGAATCGACAATAAACTGAGAACGGGATACATCTCTCTGAATATAAATATATCTAAACACATTTCTATATTGTATGAAGGGTGAAAATGTGCTATCGAGCAGAGCCAGTTGTTACTGTCTGTGTAGGGGACTCAGTTGAGCGGATCTCTGTGTGTGTGTGTTGCTATTCTTCCCCAGGACCACGATCTGCTCAACATCTTTTAGGAGTCTGGAATTCTGGCTGTAAATTTTCAATCATTTGTTCTGATCCCGACTGGAATTCTGACCCTCCCATAAGCTTTACATTAGCATGGGTGTATTTCTTGGCCAGTTAGTTCACCCAAATTACAATGACATTGGTTTCCTTACCCTGTAGGCCAGTCTATGGACAAGGTATGACAACAACATGCTTTGGTTTGGTTTCCCTTGCACTATTGTCACATGGTAGCGTTTTGGCATTTGTGGCACAAATCTCATTCAAGTCATTTGACCGATATTGGCATTTGTCGCGCATTAGTATGAAAAATGTATGCATTCACTAACTGTAAGTCGCTCTGGATAAGAGCGTCTGCTAAATGACTAAAACGTAAAATGTAACATGTTCAAATCAATTTGAGATACATTTAGACATGATGTAGTCCCCTGTAGCTCAGTTGGTAGAGCATGGCGCTTGCAATGCCAGGGTTGTGGGTTCGTTTCCCACGGGGGGCCAGTATGAAAATGTATGCACTCACTAACTGTAAGTCGCTCTGGATAAGAGCGTCTGCTAAATGACTAAAATGTAAATGTAAATTACCCATGCCGAGCAAGCAACAGAACACCATTGCATTGTTGTTTAAGTGATACCTTAAGGCCAGGGGTAGGCAACCCTGTTCCTGGGTGCCGCAGGTACTGCAGGATTTTGTTCCAACTAAGCACCACACCAGACCAAGCTAATTGATCAGTTAAGTGATTGCCTAAATTCAACACACCTGGTCGGTTAAATCATAAACAAAGGACCAGGGTTGCCTAACCCTTTTTTAGGGACTTGGTACTTACACTACAGTTGGTGCTCTCAGCACTTTCAATGAGTAACCCCACCTAGCGACCCCCATTGTTTAGCATGCCACAGGGTATTTGCTAATTTACATTTTAAATAAGTGTATTCCAATGACTACAAGCCGTCATGCAATCGTGATGGTTCTGGTGTCTGAGGAATATATCAATGTAATATATCCCTACCCTAAGTTCAGTCAGTTTAACACATATTTGCCTCTCTTTCCTTCTAAAGGTTATGCAATGCTTTAGCACTTTATCACTCGTTGTCCTCTTTGCATCGTCAATGGAGCCAAAAATAAAAATGTGTTGTGACATCAGGGCCAAGGATTTCGCCCTGAGCCAGTCAGGAACATAATATACACACATGCATGCACGTACACACATGTACACACACACCCGTACACACACACACACACAAACACACACACACAGAAACAGCAGAGCCACTGGAACGTCAAAACATTGACCTCTTTCTCAAAATCCTTTTGAAATGTTTGACAGTATTCATTATTATTCTAGAATCTCATTTAGGTAAATCCACACATCTCGAAATCCTTGCCGTGTAAAACAAATGAAATCCAAATGGTAATATTTCCTCTTCCGTTGCAATCAGTAGTTTGAGCTTTTGTAATCAGGAGGGATGTAACACAGATTTGATGTGTGTGTGTGTGTTTGTGTGTGTGTCTGTGCGTGTGTGCCTGTGTGTGTGTCTGTGTGTGTGTGTGCGACTGCAAAACGACTATCTTTGTTTCTTTTTATCGACTGTCTGCATTGTTTCTACTCTTCACTTTTAGCTGCTGAAAGAGATTAACCGAACAAGTCGAGGCCTTCGCTTCCGGAGGCAAGCTGAGCCCAAAGCCTACATCGCTGCCTACTTCAAAGACCTTCCCACCGACTTCACTCTGGGAGACACCAAGATCTATGGTGACTTTGAAAACAAGCAGCTCGCCAATGGCCAAGAGTACATCTTCTTTGTGCTTGCTGTCCTCGAGATCTCAGAAAATGTAAGTATATGCCTTTTATACAAAAATTCTTAGAAACCTCTTCTCTCTCTCTCTCTCTCTCTCTCTCTCTCTCTCTCTCTCTCTCTCTCTCTCTCTCTCTCTCTCTCTCTCTCTCTCTTTCTCCATTTGTTTCTCCTTCTCTTCTCTTAGACACCCCACTCCATAAAGGAATTAGTTCAAACAGGTACTACAGTCGGCCCTCTGGCGATTTCCTTTGCCAGGGATCTTTCGCCTTCATGCTTAAAGTTGCATGTTAAACGTCAAAGACCCAAATCCACTGTGTCTTGGCAGGGGGCACCTCCCTTGGATGGATGCGTTACGTCGAGTCCTTTTGAGCCCTGGTCTCTGAAAAAGGGCTACGGCGAGAATGGAGTCTGCTACTGCAGAGGGGAAATTCCCCAGAGGCTCCTGCCAATCGCAGGAATATCTCTATAACGAGACTCCTCTTTAATTGCGCGCCTACGGGCGAACGCCTTTATCTCCTCCGCTGCAGCTAGTGTGTGTGTATGTGTGTGTCAAAGGAGAAAGGGGCATGATTAGCTGACTAAACGCGGAAGAATGATGGATTTGATGAGCTGGGAGGTTTTAAGGCAGTCAGTCCTGACTACAGGTAAAGGAGGATGATAACAGTGGGTTCGCGGACAAAATGGGGGGGAATCTCCAATTTGCCCACCACAGCACTGATTGGCTTTTTCTTTGCCCCAAAGCCCCAGTCTTTATTTTGTTCCCCTCAGAATGGTGTGAAGGAACTCAATCAGGGCACAAATGAGAGATATTACAGATACAGTATTACCACATGCCCATATCGTTTGGAGAGTTGAATTCATTAATTAGCATTGACACAATAACTTTGAATGGGCTAATCATGGCCTAGACGTCACATACAGGTTGTCCCGATGTCTTTGTGAAAGTCAGACTGACCGAATCTACGTGTTCTAAAACTTGGAAACTTTTGAACTTGGAAACTTTCAGTGGCCTCACAGAAGGGCTGAGTTCTATTGATTGGAGCTCCACTTTGAGGGTTGATAGAGATGTGAGAGAGTGCAGGTTGTTTTTCTAGGCAGCCACACAGTCAAGAGTAAGAGATCATTTTATGTTGAGGAACGATAAGGAACATAGTCTGGGATCACAAAATGTTGTTTTCAAAGTCATGGGAGGCAGAGGAATAGTGGCTATTGGAGTCAGCCAAAAGTATTTCCTATCCTAGTCTGGGTACCTTGGGTAACTACATTGTGGTGGTAAAATAATTTCCCAAGTCTGTACTTTACTCTACTGTGCTGTACTCTACCTACATGTGGTTACTAGCCTATTATTTAAATGTATTTTGTAATAATTATCCCACTAGTATTTACACTTGTGGTATAATGCCTCTGTCATGTAATGTGTAGCCTGAGAGCCTCAACAAAATAACAGTGTGATGACTAATACCACTACCCTTCCTCTCCTTCCCAGACCATGTATGCCACCAGCCCCTACTCTGACCCTCTTGTGTCAGCTGACCTCGACCCCCAGCCAATCATTGACGAGGAGGAGGGACTTATCTGGGTGGTGGGCCCAGTGCTCGCTGTCGTCTTCATCATATGCATCGTCATCGCCATCCTCCTGTACAAGAGGTAAGCCCTGTGTAGCCCCGTGTAGCTCAGTTGGTAGAGCATGGCGTTTGCAACGCCAGGGTTGTGGGTTCGTTTCCCACGGGGGGCCAGTATGAAAATGTATGCACTCACTAACTGTAAGTCGCTCTGGATAAGAGCGTCTTCTAAATTACTAAAATGTAAAATGTAAGGACTGGAGAAAGAGAAACACACACACACACAAGAAGGTGAGATAGAGAGAGACACATTAAGTACATGCAAATACACTGTCACACACAGTCTACATATCAGAAGGATACACGCACAGGCGCACAGGCGCACACACACACACATATACACAAGCACTCTCAATCACACACACAGCGGAAGCTGGCCGTTCGCCGTCACCGCTCATCAGTCAAGCGTAGGAGGAGAGTGCTCAGAGTATTTGCTCTGTGTCAGTGCATGTGAATGCTGCTTTAGAACAGGCCCTCAGGCCACCTCTGAAGTCAACCCCCACCCCCCCCCCACCCGACACACACACACAAGAGAACTGCGCTCCAGGCTTGCTTAGTGACCCCCTGTTGCCCTGGTGTATCACAAGGACACATTTCTCTCTATCCTTGCTTCTCCCTCTTTTAGTTTCCACCTTGATTGAATACTGCTTTTGGCCACATGGAGCAGTCTCCATAGCATCCACACTGAATGACACTGTAGAGTGTATTAACACATTACTGAGAGAATCAGTCTTGAGAGAAGACTTTGGTAAGCCTGGGCTTATAATTAGTCTATCAATAGGTATGTTGTCCACTCAACACCACGCAAGAACATGTGAAGTATCTCTGAATGCATAGGTATTCATTAAATATACCAACATCAATCCAACATAAAAAATACCAATACCAATCCAATATCATTGAGTCTTATGGCTATTTACCTTCAATTGTTAGGCGTGTGTGACTATTTGGTTGTCCCTGGGCTTCCATGTTGGTCGGGAAATGTCAGGGGCACCAGAGAGGAGCATTGAACTAACTGTCGGGCATGGAATAGTCCCCTGTAGCTCAGTTGGTAGAGCATGGCGCTTGCAACGCCAGGGTTGTGGGTTTGTTTCCCACGGGGGGCCAGTATGAAAATGTATGCACTCACTAACTTTAAGTCGCTCTGGATAAGAGCGTCTGCCAAATGACTAAAATGAGAAAAAAAAAGTGATTTAATGTAGAGAGGAGGCCTTCTCTGGTTTCTGTTTGTGCCACGGCAGATTTACACAACAATTACCAAGTCAATGTCACCAGTGTGTCAGGACTTTCCGGTCCATAACCAGGAGATATATCACTTGTCAAGATCAATGTGATAGAATTGGTGCTCCGTGTGAAGAGCAAATGACAACATTACTGTGTGGGTTGCGGCAGGGGAAAGGACGAGTTAATAGCAACACAGCATCACTGATGAACTGTATAAATCAGTCACAGCAAGATGCACACCTACATGCACACTCGGATACAGATCATATATATTTTTATGTTAATCTAAGCTGAAAGTCATGGTTCCCTGTGTTCCAGAACACAAAACAGATCACAACAAACATAAGTGGCTTTTGTTACGACGGTAAGGGGAAAGGCCATATAAACTGAAATGATATTATCTAGTTTCTTCAATATTTCATGCAGGCACATTATTTGTATTGCCCTCAAAATTGTCAAAGACTCCAGTCACCCTAGTCATAGACTGTTCTCTCTGCTACCGCACGGCAAGCGGTACCGGAGTGCCAAGTCTAGGTCCAAAAGACTTCTCAACAGCTTCTACCCCCAAGCCATAAGACTCCTGAACAGCTAATCATGGCTACCCGGACTATTTGCACTGCCCCCCCACCCCATCCTTTTTACGCTGCTGCTACTCTGTTAAGTATTTATGCATAGTCACTTTAACTCTACCCACATGTACATATTACCTCAACTACCTCAACTAGCCGGTGCCCCCGCACATTGACTATGCAACGGTACCCCCCTGTATATATAGCCTCCCTACTGTCACTTTATTCTATTGTATATATAGCCTCCCTACTGTCACTTTATTTTTTACTTCTGCTCTTTTTTTCTCAACACTTTTTTGTTGTTGTTTTATTCTTACTTTTTTGTTTAAAATAAATGCACTGTTGGTTAAGGGCTGTAAGTAAGCATTTCACTGTAATGTCTGCACCTGTTGTATTCGGCGCATGTGACCAATAAAATTTGATTTGATTTGATTTGATGTGTTGTTGCCTTGATACAGGTATTCTTCAGCATTGAAACAAACACACAGAGCCCTTCCATGCTGGAGTGACAATCAATCCATCCCCTCAAAAAAGTATCCAAAAAAAATGAGATAGATCTTTGGATTGCACCTGGGATGAAATTATAGTATTTTTAAACAACAATTAACCGAAGCGGCATAATTGAGCGTGGGTTCGGTAGCAAAGCGACACTAATCTCGCACACCATCCAACATTGAGATACGATTGTTCTTTTTTGTAGTTAGACACATATATTTCCGCTTGGTCAACAGGAAATAGTACATTACAGTATAAAATATGAACGGCAGACTTCAACTTCAGCCATGGGGCGTGATACTGATTATTCAGTCATCATAGCGACGGGTCATGTTGTCGTGCCAGCTAACGTCCTGTCATGCTTTCTTTTCCTTGCTTACGAATGGAGCAGCAAACCAGACAGGTAAGAGTGAAAGGATGTGAGATGCTGACAATACCACAACAACCCCAACCTCAACCCTTTAGTATCCCTTTGAGGACATTTCCTACATTCTAGCTTGTTGGACAGAGTTCAATCATTGCAGAAAGCGGGTTTCCGCTTCTGTGCAAATCCAACGCACTTTCAAAAGTCAGCTGTTTGCATTGATTGAATTCAGACCCAAGTGCCAAATTATTGTATTTGAATTGACACTATATATTTGATCAGCCAGGACAGTTCATCGTCAAGATTTTAAGTGAGCTTTCATTTCTTTCGTTACTCTCACCCTACATTACATTAAAACATCAATACATTTGATATTATTCCTATTTGACAAGAACCTACCTTGTGATTAGAGTTGACACTGTAATGTCCTCATCTTGATATTCACCAACATGTATGACTGTCCTGTCTGTCTCAATACAAAGGGTCAATTTCTTGATGAACACAACCGCTACAATTCCCTATTTCTTAGATTCCAATTGAATTTCATGTCTCACCGTTTGTCCGCAAGAGACAACTTACTTGCCTGCCTAGAACAGACCTGCATGCATTACAATGCCTAGACTGTACCCCCTCACTTTCTCCTTAATTCTCAAAATGCATGAACATTGAATGTCAATAATATATCACAAATAGATATATTTCTTCAACAGTATGACATCATAGCCAAATGTACTCACTGGCCAGGAAAGCACTATACCATACCGGTACTTTAACAGCATTTTCCCAGCTTTCCCCACACAACTACTCCCCAATCATTGCATTTCATTTTTTATTCAGCTTTCAAATTTGATTAATCATGTGTTTTTATCAGATGAGCCCTTGCATCACTAGATGGCTATTACGTTGTAGGTTCTGGTTAAGGTAGATTTACCACACTCTCACAATGTTAGACATAGACTCTATGTGTTCAGATGTACCCATTCTATCATTTTCAGCCTTTTTCCGCCACCAAATTTAGCTAATCGTATGGAGGCATGATTCATTCTGTATGGTCCCGTCTGTGTGTGGTAGATGACCTCAGATGGCGGTATCGACCTCGCACGACCCATTTCATCCTTTGTTGTTGCTCCTGACCAATACACCATTGATCCCCCAAGGCTGTTTACACAAACCTCATTGCTTCCCATATAATGCAATGGTCAGTCATTTTTTACTTAGCCCTGACGAGGAGAGGTTGGAGGTCAGAAGTCAAAAGATGATTAACTATTTAAAAGGTCACTTGTACCCCAAACACTTCTTGTTACACAGATCAAAATCTTTGGGCAGATCCCTTTGTCAAAGCTCTTTGATAATGATTGCAAGTGGTAAAAATATTATATCCCCTATATAAATGGATTATAGCTCATTGATGAAATATCCATCTTCCGTGTTGGTTAATCTCAGGTCTGAATACTTATGGCACCTCCATATCTTCTTATAAGCATGATATGGAATTATTTAGACTCCATTCCTGATGTCGGAATGAATTAAAGATGCACTAAAGTTAATCACCGGGCTTTAACTTTATGCCTCTAGAATTGTTAATCTGATAAGCATTAATGAACATTAAGATATATGTCCCACTAAGAGTAGCATTCTTCCCCATGTATTCTAAACATAACACAATCTGGATTAAAGGAGGACACGAACTATCCTGGAACATATCGGATGTAATTAATCATTAAGACATTATATTGTGTATGTAAAATGCATACATTTTATTATATTGTCATTTAATGTAAGGGAATATCTTCAACAGGGAAGGAAAATGCACCAAATAAACGATATAATAATATATATTGATGTTTTACATGTTTTTTCCCCACAGGAAAAGGGCAGAATCCGAAGCTAGAAAAGGAAGTCTGCCCAACAGTAAGGAGATGCTGTCTCATAACCCCACTGACCCTGTGGAGCTTCGACGCATGAACTTCCAAACGCCTGGTAAGGGCTCCGGCTCACGCCCATCACTTCCATCTCACCCATTGTGAAAGCAAACATCAATCACACAAACCACTGCAGGGCTTCCTATATCCTATTCACTCAATTACTTTTTAAACTACAGTACGTCAGAGTCAAAATAAGATGAATGTAGTTACTAATCTTTACCTGAATTAGGAGGTAAAGGAGCAGAATTAATGTCATTTATCAAATTATGAATTAGGTTTGTTATCATTGGGGGAGTGTGTGAATGTGTCCTCTTTGCGATGTGCTTGCTCATGTGTGACCTCTTTAAAAGGCAACACCTAAATGCTAAACCGACACTTCTCACTGAGTTCTTGTGACTAGAACATTCTGTGGGGTCAATGTTCAAAGTGTGGAAAATGGACAGGTGGCAGAGAAAAAACACACAGGGTCAAAAATGAGAGAGAGAGAGAGAGAGAGAGAGCGAGAGAGAGAGAGAGAGAGAGAGAGAGAGAGAATGTGGAGAATGAGGTATAAGGCGAGCACTTTCATGGCAGTTAACATCATCTGTCTTCACGAGTCACCTAGATCGGGGAGGCCTTTGCCAAGCTAACACTAGTCTCCTCAAGAGTGACAGCGTAGCATATTGGAAGTCAAAGTTTGCGATGAGGTGAAGGCTACAATACTATGACAGTGTCATAATACCAAAGTACATCCTCTATTAGGCCAGTGGAGAGAAGAGCGGGCCAGTGACAAGCTGTGAACACAAATGTCCCCTCCCTTTTGACCTTCTGCGGCGAGGTGAACATCCGTCATGCCTGAGCTGCCTGGTCAAGGGACCCTTTTTGTTGCCGAGGGGAAAAAGATGGCCGTCACAGTCTATTTGTCCTGAGGAGAGCCAATGTATTTTCTCCCAGCTACCTTTTTTGACATGCTCAACTTGGTAGTGAGAGCAGTGTGACAGGTGTTCGGGGACTGCTAAGAATGTTGTAATGTTAAAGCCATATATTTCAGGTCAGCTCGTATGAAAGGGGAATAAATTATAAAGAGTATGCATATTTATGAAACCCCTACTCTCAATGACCTTATATCCATTAATGGCAATTACAAACTTGGCAAGAGGGGGCGTTTTTTCCCCTCTTAGTTTCCGCTTTGAGAAGGGGAGTTCAGAGTGATCTAAACCGCCACACTTTCCCCATTCTGGAACCATTCCGGAATCCTCTACAACCATCTTGATTGGTCTCACACACCGTTCTCATCTTCCAAAGAGCCTCTCTAAGTGGCTCTCGACTTGCTGGAGAGGTCCAAACATCTTTGTCTCCCTCTTCTATAGCTTCCTCTCCAACTCTGATTGGTGCTACATTAGACCGCTTTTCTCTTCCCTCCCTCACTCCCACCCTCTTTTCATCCCTCTCTCACCTCGCTGCTCCTCAATGCACATTTCCATTTTGAGGACGCTTGATGTGTGCATGACGCCACGTGGCGAAAGGCAGTTCCATTGTCAACCGGCGGCTGAAAATTAGTCTTGAGTGGTAGGGGCTGATAGAAATACCCTAGAGAGAGGGGAGAGGGAGGAAGGGGGGGTGGGAGAGAGAGAGAGAGAAGAGAGAGAGAGAGAAAGAGAGAGGAGAGAGAGAGAGAGAGTAAGAAGGAGAAGCGATCTGCAGAGAGCAGAGAGCCTCTCTCTCCTCGCTCTCTTATCTCATCTCTCTCACAGCGCTCTGAGACAGCTAATGGCTACTTCAGTTATCAGTGTAGATGAAAAGACCAATGACAGACACCTGTCTCAGGCGGGAGAGTGGGCAAAGCTATTATGAAACCTCAGCTATCTGGCACACGGTGACAGCCTTTTGTGCGCACGAACACTGAAGTGCTAACACTATTTACATTCAACAATATCAGTTCCACCTTGTCAAAGTAAAGTCCACTAAAGTTTCATGCAAGGTGAAACTTCCTGCCTGCAGGCTTTCTATGATATCTGATGGTCAGAATGGATCTCATTATAGGATTAGTATGATTGCTTGACTCAGTTCTTCAGTGTCCTCGAATTGTCTCTCCTGCTCTGTTTTGTTTCCATTTCTTTTCCCCTGATTTACGCATTTTGGCTAGCTTCTAGCATGTCAATGTGTGCGGGACTAACTGGTCAATGTGACATTTTAGATGATACAATGTAGAACTTTAGTTTCCATCAGACCCCTTCCCCAACTGTTTCTAGCCCTAAAACTAAATAATCATCACATTTCTACAATCGTCTGCAACTTTTTATTTATACAGCCGTTTCCTCCACAGGTTCAGGTGACCCTAGTTACCCCAGTAACTTCCATTTGTCAAGTTAGTTGGTCTTGTTTATGCATTCACCATATTCTTCCTTTCTCTCTTTTGTTTTGTTCCGGGTTTTTCCCCCATCACCCTGTCCTACTCCTTTCTACATACTTGTAGTCAATCTCACCCCCATCTAATCCACACGTTACTCATTGCCATGTCATCCATCGCAGGAGAAAGAGTAAAAAATGACAACCCAGTCATCAATCAAAGCAGACAACATCATTCCGGCCTAACTTTTTGCTTACTTTCTTTGTCGTTTGGTTTGTTTGTGCATTTGTTTGTGTCTTCCGTCATGCTAACTCTCGCCGGTCGCTTCGGCTTAAATAACATTCTTCTCTCACAGTAGGAAGTGTTACAGGAAGTGAAGTGTGCTTGATGAATTCTCATTGGCTTCCTTTCCTGTCATATCTTCCTATGAGCATGCCACTGCTTTGAGTGAAAAACTGGCCTAACAATGATCACTTCCACTTCTTACACACATGCTGCTTTTCTAATGATTCACTGGTTGTAAATGTGGTAGCAACCCCTTACCCCTGGCGACTGACCTCTTGTCCGTTTGATTGACAGGCATGGCCAACCACCCACCGATCCCCATTCTGGACCTGGCCGATCATCTGGAGCGATTGAAAGCCAACGACAACCTGAAGTTTTCACAGGAATATGAGGTAAACATGAGGCTTCAGTGTGTCTCCTATCTGTTTGTGTCCTACATGTGTGCATATTTAGGTCAGATTGGAGGTGTTATCGGAGAAAGATGACTGTTTTCCGATTAACTAAGATGCCATCTATCATTCAGAACAAAGGGTTGGTATATTAAAGGCTTTCGACATTTGATTATGCTGTATGGTCACAGTGAAAACATCACTGGGTGTCCAGGTTGGGACTGCTATAGTTTATGTGAAAACATTAACATGATTCCAATAATATATGTGCTTGTTAGCGTATGCAACCCCAACAGTTTAGGCTCATGTGTCCGAGAGAGAGGCTAGCTGCCCTCTAAACTCATTGTGTCACTCATTGTCACTCATTGTGTAATGTGTCATGGAGTTTATTTAAGCCTCAAGTCTCGCCATGTAATGTTATTTTTCCGGAACCCTTTAATCCGGTCATTACAAAATTGTTACAGCCCTGTCACCCTGCCGTTCAGCAAAGCCAGTCCTCACATGGCAGCTGGCATACGGGGAAAAAAAATAAGATGGCTTCCCATGGAGAACCTGTTCACCGGTCGCACCCAGGAAACCCAAATCCCCAATCCTTCCAATCTGCCCGATGCAAAGTGAAAATGAAACATTCATGTAGTGACAGCGGGCTTGATTGAAAGGACCGTCATCCCTACGCCGCCGTATCTCTGAACGGTAATCATTTTGGCATTTAATATGGACGCAGCTCAGAAAAGGTCAGCATCTCACCAACGCGCCGTAAACTCATTAGCCCGCAGACAAGGCGAGGTGACTCGTCAGCCAGGATTCGCCAAAGTCTCTCATCTTCGACCGGGGAGGGAGAAGGGAAGGGGGGCTGGGGTTGTCTTCGGTTCAGTGCGTTCACAAAGACATAATCCTATTTTTGTGATTTCATCAGATGATGAAACCTAGTGGGTTTGATTGATTGGAGCAGAATGTCAGGGGCCAAAAGTAAAGTAACTGTCGCCAGGTTTTTCCCTCCCCTCACACTCATCACTCTCGGCAGCCACTCCACAAACGGGGAATGAAATACCTTTAAAGCCCAATAAATCTCCCCCGTTTTCCCACCACCGCTCGTCATTGCTAGATGGATTTTCTGCGAAACACAATGGGAGTAAATCTAAATAGATGGACTTGCGTACGACTGTATGTCACTGAAGCTGCAGAATTGTGCTGGAGTGCCGTGGTCCTTTCAGGGGCATTGTGTGTGATGGAACTGCAGTCGACCTCTATCTATCTCTCTCCCCTCTTGTTCTCTCTCTGTCTCTACCTCTGCCTCAGTCTCTGCCTCTGTCTCTGTCTCTGCCTCTGCCTCTGCCTCTGTCTCTGCCTCTGTCTTTGTCTCTGTCTCTGCCTCTGTCTCTGCCTTTGTCTCTGCCTTTGTCTCTGCCTCTGTCTCTGCCTCAGCCTCTGTCTCTGCCTCTGTCTCTGTCTTTGTCTCTGCCTCGATTTCTGCCTCAGTCTCTGCCTCTGTCTCTGCCTCAGCCTCTGTCTCTGCCTTTGTCTCAGGCTCTGCCTTTGTCTCAGGCTCAGCCTCAGTCTCAGCCTCTGTCTCTGCCTCTGCCTCTGCCTCTGTCTCTGCCTCTGTCTCTGTCTCTGTCTCTGTCTCTGTCTCTGTCTCTGCCTCTGCCTCTGCCTCAATCTCTTCCTCTGTCTCTGTCTCAATCTCTGCCTCAGTCTCTGCCTCTGTCTCTGCCTCTGGCTCTGTCTTTGTCTCTGCCTCTGTGTCTGTCTCTGACTCTGTCTCTGTCTCTGTCTCTGTCTCTGTCTCTGCCTCAGCCTCTGTCTATGTCTCTGCCTCTGCCTCTGCCTCTGCCTCTGCCTCTGCCTCTGCCTCTGCCTCTGCCTCAGCCTCTGTCTCAGCCTCTGTCTCAGCCTCTGTCTCAGCCGCTGTCTCTGTCTCTGTCTCTGTCTCTGCCTCTGTCTTTGTCTTTGTCTTTGTCTTTGTCTCTGTCTCTGTCTCTGCCTCAGTCTCTGCCTCAGTCTCTGCCTCAGTCTCAGCCTCAGTCTCAGCCTCTGTCTCTGACTCTACCTTTGTCTCTGCCTTTATCTCAGCCTCAGCCTCAGTCTCTTCCTCAGTCTCTGCCTCTGTCTCTGCCCTTGTCTCAGTCTCTGCCTTTGTCTCCAACTCTCTCTCCCTGTCCCTCTCACTCCCTCTCTCTCTCTCTGCGGGCTGTACCACTACTGCTCCAAACCATGAGATCACGATGTGGCTGGGTGCCAAACTCCCCCGACCATTATTGCAGTTTAAGTACATTGAATTTGAGGCAGGTATTTTCACAAGGAATAGAAAGTAATTTTCTGAGCACAATGAAACAAGGGTTCTTTATTATGAGCAATGTAGCGACCTACTGTTTCAACATATTTGGATGAAAATGTGGCAGCTCAGGCAAAATTGTGTCCTGTCTGACTCACACTGCATTCTGGTCCCACAGTGTAAATTCTGCAGATAATAAATGTCACACAGCTGATTTGGCCTTACTCACAATGTTCACATGCTTTTAACCCTAAGAAATTTTTTCCTTACATTTTACATGTACATTTTAGTAATTTAACAGACACTCTTATCCAGAGCGACTTACAGGAGCAAATAGGGTTAAGTACCTTGCTCAAGGGCACATTGACAGTTTTTCACCTTGTTGGTTTGGGGATTTGAACGAGCGACCTTTCAGTTACTGGCCAAAATGAAATCATATCTACACCTAACGTTAACTATCCAGTATTTTGGTCCAATGAGGAAAATAAGATTGTTGGGGTCTTTTTTCTGGTTTATTCTTAATTTCCAAGCAAATATCCCAAATGCTTTTTCTGTGATTCCTTCAGAGAAATCAGGGAGAGTTTATCCAAGACCCTAAATGCCTCATGTATAAACAAACATAATCATTTCACCACTAAACAAGGAAGGACAAAACGTTTGGTTGTGAACTCTAGAGCCTTGTTCGGTTTCAATACTTACAATGCATCCTTCCTCCACCCTTCTTAAAAGGAATCACTAACCTGACATGACTGGATTGGTGCAAGCAACATTTCCACTAGCTTGCTTTCACCAATTATGTCATGTCACTGCCAGATCAGTTATTACTATTGAGGAAGGAAGGAAGCGTTTAAGTAATATTTGAAAAGTTATACTTCTCTATGCCTTCTGTCTGCCCTTTGGCTTCTAATACCTTTTATTCCTAGTAGTAAGCATAATCCAGCTCATTACTCCTTTAGTGGAAACATTAAACATCAGAGACTCTGATCATTAAAGAACACAGCCCAATATTTCCTCTGACATGTGAAATGGAACACTATCTTTCACAACATGGTGTTTTCTCCCAAATGGCTAGTGGTATTACATTTTATAACCCATTTATTTGCGGTGAGGGATCGTTTTCAAATCAGGCTTTACAGAGCTATAAAAGGATTAGATTGCTGATTCTTTTGGTTGTACTCAACTGTACGGCTCTTCTGTGTACCATAAACACTAACCCGATAGAAGGACCAAGGATGGTGGAGAGAAAACATGGCCTTTGTGGAAAACCTAATCTAGAATGGCTAAAATGTTGGACTCTTATCATTGTAGTTATTAAAGTAGACTATTGTAGTGTTATTTTTCTCCTTACTAAGGTTGGCAGCCATTGTCCATTGTATACAATAATAGTCCTAGCAAATAGAGATAAAGAATGACCTTTGACTAAAAGCATATTTGAAAGTCAACACATCCCGCCATGTTCTTTCCCCTTCATTTATGCCGTGAAGACAGTACTCTCTCTCCAGGCTTATGAGACCAATGTTCAGCCATTGTATGCTTCTCTGCCAACTGTAATTTGAAATTTGTCAACCCAAAGACATTGCTTGCAGGCAGATGCCTATCAACATTCCATTTTCAAAAGACAGCGAAGAGTCAGAATACATTTTGTTACAAAAGTAAATGACTTGAGGTCGGTAAATGCTCCATAAAAAAGCAGTTTCAGACACAGACTATTCGTTTTTTATTAGAATTGTGTACGTTTTAAGCTTGTTATGAAGTGTACTTTTTCCTCACAATTCTTCAAGTTATCTCACAATTTAATAGTTTCTGAATAAGCATAAATGTTTTTTTGTGAATAACGTTCAACTCTCAATTAATGATCTTTCGTCAATAATGGCTGATCCGTCAATAATGTCTGATCCCTGACCGTGATCCCACTCTCCGAGGTTGTCTCAGGGGGAGTGGGATATGCAAAAAGATACATTTCCATTTCACACCTCACTCTCATACAGCTTACCCACTTGTACAGGCAGTGAAACAGGACAAATATAAGCATCCCCTATTTGACCTTTGTTCATTCCAAGGCAGCGTCCCAAATGGCACCCTCTCCCCTTTTATAGTGCATTACTATTGACCCCTTAGGACACATAGGGCTCTGATCAATAGTAGTGCACTAAATAAGGAATAGGGTGCCATTTGGGACGCAGGACAATACACCACACCAACCATCCTTCAGTTTAGACTGACAAAAAAGGACACTCAGTTAAAACCATGACATTCATCTGATTTCACATTAAATAGCTGTACGCCATTATGAATGTAGTATGTCGTAATTGTGCCTTTCACTTTAGCAAGTGAAAGCATCCAACTTTTAAAGAGCAATTCAGAATGTCATGCGATTGAACTCAACTTCATGAAGGTCACACATGCCGAGCTTATCTATAGTTGAATAATCTTCCTGTACACTTAGCTTTATATTAAAGTTATATATTTTTTGTTATTACTCTCTATGAGTAGGATTTGTATGTAGCATCGTTGCTGTATATGCTATACTGTATTTGTATACCCACTGCTTGTCAGCTAGCTCAGGGTTTCCCAGACCCCCCAGGGTGCACGTTTTGGTTTTTGCCCTAGCACTACACAGCTGATTCAAATAATCAAAGCTTAATGATGAGTTGGTTATTTGAATCAGCTGTGTAGTGCTAGGGCAAAAACTGAAATGTGGCCCCAGGACCGAGTTTGGGAAACCCTGAGCTAGATGATGACGGCAAATACACTTTGACATGGGGGGAAGAAAAAAATTAAATGTACAGTGTATTTATCCCTCCTCCTCTCCATTTCAGAACCAGTCTGACCAGTGTACAGTATATGCATGTAAGCATGCGTTACTGGATACCTAGGGACGCATAATATGGAATGATGGCGATAGAATACGCCAGCCAGCCTTGGGACGGCTAAATTCACCAGGGCTTGTCACTTACACAAAATGTCTGTCACGCTACATGCCAAAATAACCCTGGACGCTTTGGAAAATAGCAGTTAAGGCAGTCGAACGATATTGACTTGCATTGGTTTTGTGCCACAAATGCAAAAAAATATAAAATTGGAGACAGTGGCCAGGTAAACCAAACCAAACCAAAGCATGGATTGCTGTCATACCGTGTCCATCAACTACTTACAGGGCAAGAAAACCAATATGAAATGTTGTAATTTGGGTGAACTATCCCTTTAAATATGTCTCATGAATCTACCCAGTACTGTACATTTTTTTGCTAATCCTCTGAATTATTATTATTGATCCTAGTTTGAATCCATAGTACTTGTCAGGGAGATGGAGCTAATTGGTGGTATTGAGCACAATATACTACTGTAAGTGATAAAGGAATTAATATAATATCTCTCTACTTACAGTCCATCGACCCCGGGCAGCAGTTCACGTGGGAACACTCCAACCTGGAAGTCAACAAACCAAAGAACAGATATGCTAATGTGATAGCATACGACCACTCCAGAGTCCTGCTATCGGCTATTGATGGTAAGCAGCTCTCCCCTTGGCTTGAAATGACTGTCGAGTAAGTCTACTTATATACCACTGTCTTCTGTCCCCTAGGAGTATTAGCATACATTGAGCTATGGTATCCATGAAATCATATACACACTGCCACGGTTTTGCAGGTGAATTTAAGATTTCAATAACATTCCTATATGAGGAATTACTTTATAAATGTTTTTTTCCTCTCAAAGCGTTTCCTCCACCTACTGTTTCCATGCGTCTTCAGACTATCAGCCATGATGTTTTATTCAACCTATAAAGGACCTCAATTGAACTCTTATCACGCATATCTTCATGATGTCTTTCTATCGGTAGTTTGTTTCAGCTAACAGTTATTTTTTTGAAGAGCTAGTTAATCCAGCTCTCTTCTGTCACGCACAAGCACACACACACACACACACACACACACACACACACACACACACACACACACACACACACACACACACACACACACACACACACACACACGTCTAATGAACCATTTCCATTTAATATTTCCCATAGACAAAAAACAAAAACAAAAACATAAACAGACTTCTGCTCTCCCAGTAAGTAGATAAAGTCTCTTTGCAGTCTCCCAGAAAGCCCATGCAGCTGAGAGTGTTGATGGACCCCATTAACTAGGCATAAACACACATCTGTACGCCCACATCGACGCCTTTGTGAGGGAGGAAACCGCTACTCTGCCAGACAGGCTTGTGGGACTTCCCCCCAGAGCTCTAAACAAAGCCATTGGCAACCAGGACTTCTTTGTTTACTTTGATTGAGTTATTTTGGCGTGAGGGACTTGGAATGGAGGAAGACTTCCTTGGCTGCTTTTGGAATCCCCTGATTTGTGGTAAAGTGTAGGGTAGACTACATTTACATTTACATTTACATCATTTAGCAGATGCTCTTATCCAGAGCGACTTACAAATTGGTGCATTCAATTTATGAAAGCCAGTGGGACAACCACTTGTTTTTTTTGTTAGTTTTTTTTATGGGGGGGGGGGGGGGGGGGGGGGGGGGTAGAAGGATTACTTTATACTATTCCAGGTATTCCTTAAAGAGGTAGGGTTTCAAGTGTCTCCGGGAGGTGGTCAGTGACTCTGCTGTCCTGGCGTCGTGGGGGAGCTTGTTCCACCATTGGGGTGCCAGAGCAGCAAATAGCTTTGACTGGGCTGAGCGGGAACTGTGCTTCCGTAGAGGTAGGGGAGCTAGCAGGCCAGAGGTGGATGAACGTAGTGCCCTCGTTTGGGTGTAGGATCTGATCAGAGCCTGAAGGTAAGGAGGTGCCGTTCCCCTCACAGCTCCGTAGGCAAGCACCATGGTCTTGTAGTAGATGCGAGCCTCAACTGGAAGCAAGTGTAGTGTGCGGAGGAGCGGGGTGACATAAGAGAACTTGGGAAGGTCGAACACCAGACGGGCAGCAGCGTTCTGGATAAGTTGTAGGGGTTTAATGGCACAGGCAGGGAGCCCAGCCAACAGCGAGTTGCAGTAATCCAGACGGGAGATGACAAGTGCCTGGATTAGGACCTGTGCCGTAGGTAGGGTTGTACTTTGCGAATGTTGTAGAGCATGAACCTGCAGGATCGGGTCACCGCTTTGGTGTTAGCGGAGAACGACAGGGTGTTGTCCAGGGTCAGGCCAAGGTTCTTTGCACTCTGGGAGGAGGACACAATGGAGTTGTCAACCGTGATGGCGAGATCATGGGGCGGGCAGTCCGTCTTCCCCGGGAGGAAGAGCAGCTCCGTCTTGCCGAGGTTCAGCTTGAGGTGGTGATCCGACATCCACACTGATATGTCTGCCAGACATGCAGAGATGCGATTCGCCACCTGGTTATCAGAAGGGGGAAAGGAGAAAATGAATTGTGTGTCGTCTGCGTAGCAATGATAGGAGAGACCATGTGAGGATATGACAGAGCCTAGTGACTTGGTGTATAGAGAGAATAGGAGAGGGCCTAGAACTGAGCCCTGGGGGACACCAGTGGTGAGAGCACGTGGTGCGGAGACAGATTCTCGCCACGCCACCTGGTAGGAGCGACCTGTCAGGTAGGACGCAATCCAAGAGTGAGCAGCGCTGGAGATGCCCAACTCGGAGAGGGTGGAGAGGAGGATCTGATGGTTCACAGTATCAAAGGCAGTGGATAGGTCTAGAAGGATAAGAGCAGAGGAGAGAGAGTTATCTTTAGCAGTGCGGAGAGCCTCCGTGACACAGAGAAGAGCAGTCTCAGTTGAATGACCAGTCTTGAAACCTGACTGGTTTGGATCAAGAAGGTAATTCTAAGAGAGATAGCAGGAGAGTTGGCTAGAGACGGCACGCTCAAGAGTTTTGGAGAGAAAAGAAAGAAGGGATACTGGTCTGTAGTTGTTGACATCGGAGGGATCGAGTGTAGGTTTTTTGAGGAGGGGTGCAACTCTCGCTCTCTTGAAGATGGAAGGGACATGGCCAGCGGTCAAGGATGAGTTGATGAGCGAGGTGAGAAGGTCTCCAGAAATGGTCTGGAGAAGAGAGGAGGGGATAGGGTCAAGCGGGCAGGTTGTTGGGCGGCCGGCCGTCACAAGTCGCAACATTTCATCTGGAGAGAGAGGGGAGAAATAAGTCAAAGCATAGGGTAGGGCAGTGTGAGCAGGACCAGCGGTTTCATTTGACTTTTAGCGTTGGCTATGCTAGAGGGGAATTGAGTGACACTTAACTTGAACCCTCGGTCCTTACAGGCCCACATAACAATGTCATGATAATCATTTACATTTACATTTTAGTCATTTAGCAGACGCTCTTATCCAGAGCGACTTACAGTTAGTGAGTGCATACATTATTATTTTTTCATACTGGCCCCCCGTGGGAAACGAACCCACAACCCTGGCGTTGCAAACGCCATGCTCTACCAACTGAGCTACATCCCTGCCGGCCATTCCCTCCAATACCCTGGACGACGCTGGGCCAATTGTGCGCCGCCCCATGGGTCTCCCGGTCGCGGCCGGCTACGACAGAGCCTGGATTCGAACCAGGATCTCTAGTGGCACAGCTAGCACTGCGATGCAGTGCCTTAGACCACTGCGCCACTCGGGAGACCATAATGTTATAACATATGTCATAAACAGTCACAACACAACATGTTCAGCATCATCTGTTGACTTGTCATAGTCATTAATCATGTCCACAACATGTTGTTGTTGTTGTTGTGTGTCATACGACGTGAATACCACTTAATTAATTTGTATGCTTCCACAGGACTTTCATTTAGTTAGCCAACCTTTGTGTCTTCCCCCCATTTTGAACTTCAAACCATCCATCAAAATGTCTCCTTTCATTTTGACATTCCTCACCAGATGAATACACATTATGTAAGCAAACATCTGTATAGTCAGTTTTCCACTGTACTCTGCTCCAAAGCTGTCCTTGGACTCTATTCTTAACTCAGTTGAGACGCAGTTCAAAGTGGGCAAACTTGAGTCACTGGCCAGCTGTTTCTCAAAAGGTCAGCTAGTTGGAAATCACAACATAATCACGGTTTTCCGTGCTTGATCAAGGAGCTTTTAAAGTCCAGCTGTACTGGTTATTCTCCAATTGTTGGAAAGTTATGATGCCGTCATAAATCGTGAAGGCAGGTTGATGATGAAGCGGCGGAGAGAAGCAGACTCATCAAATCAAATCAAATGTGATTTGTCACATGCTTCATAAAAAACAACAGGTGTAGACTAACAGTGAAATGCTTAATTACGGGCCTTTCCTAATAATGCAGAGAAAAATAAATTAAAAATAGCATATATATATATATATATATATATATATATATATATATATACAGCTCTGGAAAAAAATAAGAGACCACTGCACATTTGTTCTTAAATCAGCATCTCTACATGTATGACAGCCATTCCATTCCAGTGTCTGTTGAATTCCAACACAGGCACACCTCATTCTACTGAATTAGGTACTGATTAGGTGATCACCTGAACCAAATCTTATTTAACAGGGAAAAGTATAAAAACCACTGCTGTGGTTATCACTATTCTCTTGCAATAGGACCAGCTGGATGGCAAAAACAGTGCTAATAGTACCTCAAAAGTAATATTAATTAAAAAAATTACTATTGACCATGCCAAAAGAGTTGAAAAGGAAAGTTTTGAGTGAGGAAAAGAAAGGTTCAATTCTGGCGTTACTGCCAGAGGGATACAGTGAGCGTCAGGTTGCTTCCATCCTTAAAATTTCAAAGACGGCGGTTCATAAGAACAAAGTCAAGCAGCAGACATTGGGGACAACAAAGCTACAGACCGGCAGAGGGTGAAAACGACTCTCTACTGACCGGTATGACTGCCAACTCATTCGAATGTCACTCAACAACCGTAGGATGACACCTAGTGACCTACAAAAAGAATGGCAAATGGCAGCTGGGGTGAAGTGCACGGCGAGGACGGTTCGAAACAGGCTCCTAGGGGCAGGGCTGAAGTCGAGCAAAGCTAGAAAAAAGCCCTTCATCAATGAGAAGCAAAGAAGAGCCAGGCTGAGGTTTGCAAAATACCATAAGGATTGGACCGTAGAGGACTGGAGTAAGGTCATCTTCTCTGATGAGTCCAATTTTCAGCTTTGCCCAACACCTGGTCGTCTAATGGTTAGACGGAGACCTGGAGAGGCCTACAAGCCACAGTGTCTCGCACCCACTATGACATTTGGTGGAGGATCGGTGATGATCTGGTGGTGCTTCAGCAAGGCTGGAATAGGGCAGGTTTGTCTTTGTGAAGGACAAATGTATCAAGCCACGTACAAGGTTGTCCTGGAAGAAAACTTGCTTCCTTTTGCTCTGACATTGTTCCCCAACTCTGAGGATTGTTTTTTCCAGCAGGACAATGCGCCATGCCACACAGCCAGGTCAATGAAGGTGTGGATGGAGGACCACCAGATCAAGACCCTGTCATGGCCAGCTCAATCTCCAGACTTGAACCCCATTGAAAACTTCTGGAATGTGATCAAGAGGAAGATGGATGGTCACAAGCCATCAAACAAAGCCGAGCTGCTTGAATTTCTGCGCCAGGAGTGGCATAAAGTCACCCAACATCAATGTGAAAGACTGGTGGAGAGCATGCCAAGACGCATGAAAGCTGTGATTGAAAATCATATTGATTTCTGAACTCTTCCTAAGTTAAAACATTACTATTGTGTTGTTTAAAAATGAACATGAACTTATTTTCTTTGCATTATTCGAAGTCTGACAACACTGCATCTTTTTTGTTATTTTGACCAGTTGTCATTTTCTGCAAATAAATGCTCTAAATGACAATATCTTTATTTGGAATTTGGGAGAAATGTTGTCAGTAGTTGATAGAATAAAACAAAAATGTTATATTTACCCAAACACATACCTATAAATAGTAAAACCAGAGAAACTGATAATTTTGCAGTGGTCTCTTAATTTTTTCCGCAGCTGTATATATGCAGTACCAGTCAAAAGTTTTTACACACCTACTCATTCAAGGGTTTTTCTTTATTTTTACTATTTTCTACATTGTAGAATAATAGTGAAGACATCAAAACTATGAAATAACACATATGGAATCATGCAGTAACCAAGAAAGTGTTAAACAAATCAAAATATATTTTATATTTGAGATTCTTCAAAGTAGCCACCCTTTGCCTTGATGACAGCTTTGTACACTCTTGGCATTCTCTCAACCAGCTTCACCTGGAATGCTTTTCCAACAGTCTTGAAGGAGTTCCCACATATGCTGAGCACTTGTTGGCTGCTTTTCCTTCACTCTGCGGTCCAACTCATCCCAAACCATCTCAATTGGGTTGAGGTCGGGTGCTTGTGGAGGCCAGGTCATCTGATGCAGCACTCCATCACTCTCCTTCTTGGTCAAATAGCCCTTACACGCAGTCGTGGGTGAACAGGGAGTACGGGAGGGGACTAAGCACGCACCCCTGAGGGGCCCTTGTGTTGAGGGTCAGCGTGGCGGACGTGTTATTGCCTATCCTCACCACCTGGGGGCGGCCCGTCAGGAAGTCCAGGATCCAGTTGCAGAGGGAGGTGTTTAATCCCAGGATCCTTAGTTTAATGATGAGTTTGGAGGGCACAATGGCGTTGAACGCTGAGCTGTAGTCAGTGAACAGCATTCTCACGTAGGTGTTCCTTTCGTCCAAGTGGGAAAGGGCAGTCTGGAGTGCAATAGAGATTGCGTAATCTGTGGGTCTGTTGGGGCGGTATGCGAATTGGAGTGAGTCCAGGCTTTCTGGGATGATGATGTTGATGTGAGCCATGACCAGCCTTTCAATGCATTTCATGGCTACAGATGTGAGTGCAATGGGGCGATAGTCATTTAGACAGGTTACCTTGGCGTTTTGGGGCACAGGGGCTATGGTGGTCTGCTTGAAACATGTCGGTATTACAGACTGGGTCAGGGATAGGTTGAAAATATCATTGAAAACACTTGCCAACTGGTCAGTGCATGCTCTTGAGTACGTGTCCTGGTAATCCGTCTGGCCCTGCGGCCTTGTGAATGTTAACCTTTTTAAAGGTCTTGCTCACATCAGCTATGCACTCATGACATCTTGCCTGGGCTTACAGGCCAACCTAGTACTCTAAAAGAGGACTTTTACCAAAAGTTACTTCAGTGTGTATTATGCCTCGTAAAATGGATAACCATTAAAATTCCTAACACACATGCCACTTTCAGACTTTTCTAAGACAAGCTACCAATTTTACATTTTACATTTTAGTCATTTAGCAGACGCTCTTATCCAGAGACTTACAGTTAGTGAGTGCATACATTTTTTCATACATTTTGTAGGTGATTCTTCGATCACTTGCCAGGTTTGATATCTGCACCATAGTATTAGTTGTGTTTCTTTCTTGATAACGATATTGAAAGTCTTGCAAGCAGATGGTTGCGTTCTCCACAAAAAAAAAGACACTCCAGCCGTCTGCCGAGAAACCATTTAGCAAATAGGCGTCCAGACACTCTTGTTTTGATTAAATCATGATAGTGTCTCTTTTTCCTTGCCCGTCCATTTTGAAAGCTTGGGGCTTAATTGTCTTTCTCCCTTGTCCATCATGGAAATATACAGCCAGGCAACGGCTGTAGTAAAGGGTTTAGGAGAGAAAAGGAAGGGAGGAGAAAAAAAGGACGGGTAAGAAATGTTGGGTTTTGAATGAGCTCACACTCTCTCTCTTTTTGGTTGCACTAAATAAGTTACCTGGGAGAAAAGGGGAAGGGTAGAGGAGAGGGGGAAGAGCTGGAGCGTGGGCGGTTGCCTGTGGAAACGTGGCACCCATGCAGATGAAACTTATCTTGGTAGTCCATGTGTGCGCCGGGCCCCCAACTGCCAGTCCCGAAGCATTGACTAACTGTCAACTCTGTCTTCTCCTCTTCCCGGATTGGAAAAGACCACAGCGCTTTCATTTAGCAAGCGGTGAAAAAAAGAGGAGAGTAGAAGGTTTTGTTGTTTGTTTTTCTCTCTGTGAGGTTGAGGAGAGAGGTGGGGAGAAGGCGTTTTTCAAAGCCAAACTCTATCTCTGAAGTTCACTGTAGATTACGGAAATGCTCTTTTTGGAATCATCGTTACGTTCAAGAGGAAGATAACGATTGACACAGTGATTCAACAAGTAGGCCGCCATTTTGTGTGGACAGATGACACAAAAGGTACACAATGGCAAAGCTTAAACGAAAAACACAGTATAGACTGTTTGCCTGGGTAGTGTCTGAGTAAGTAAACTAACTCTGGAGTCGTGTCCTTTTAGTTTGAAAGAACTCGGTCAGGATTAAGTGTTGTTTACTGTCAAAACAACTGAAGGTATTGAGTTGGACTAGCAGGGGTCTAAACCTCTAAGCACTAGCAGAGTGGGACTTCACCTTTCACGGTGCCTGCTAGTGGATGGACTAACATTATTGATCCCTCTGAAACCAAAGCCACTTTTTTTGTCGCTCATTGGGTTTTCCCTGTGTGTCGTACAACCAAGGTTAATCACTCTCCACACACAGACCACACACACACACACATCATCCATTCTAATCCCTTTCCCTCCTCTTTCCAAGGTATCCCTGGAAGTGATTACATCAACTCCAACTACATTGACGGCTACAGGAAGCAGAATGCGTACATCGCCACGCAGGGCTCGCTGCCTGAGACGTTTGGGGACTTCTGGAGGATGATCTGGGAACAGCGGAGTGCCAACATTGTCATGATGACCAAGCTGGAGGAGAGATCCAGGGTAAGCACAGATCTGGGATCAGCCCTATGGGATCTTAAATTCATGTGATTGTCGTGCTCTGAGTAGAATGTGTCTTTAGCAGAGGTCTATTACAAAGGTCCACATTATCCTACCCTAACATTAGTCAGAGTCAAATAATCAACATTTAGTAATTCTACGAATTTCAATATATGGCACACGTGTCATATTATTGGATTTGTAAAGTAGAAAAAGTCAGGCACTGAAATGTGTAATTATGCCATTGTTATATGAATTGACTCAGGCGTCTACATTTTAATATCAGTGTACGTGGTCTGTAAAGCAAGTATACCGGAATATAATTTGAGATTCCAGATATACTTGTCAGATGCAAAATAGGTACAATTCAATGTGCCTATTTTCTATTGTTTACTTCCAAGCTTTATTGAAACTGAAACGTTATACCCTAACTCATGGCTCCTCCATTTTCATCTGTAATGCAAATACCTGCCTTAACATTTTCTTTGACCTGCCCATTCTTCCTTTCATTCTGTGTTCCTATTTTTGTGTGTGTTTTGTGTCATGTTCCTTCAGATTCCCTCATATTTCTATTCTAAGGCAAGACATCTTGCATTCTGTTGCCAATGGATGTCACTCCTTCGCCACAACATGAGTTTTCCTTTTGTTCTTTTTAGTATCAGTGCTGCTATACCGTTATTGTAGTTAGTCACATGGCCACTAGGTTAGCCAGCAGCACTGCTTTAAAGGGGCAATCTGCAGTTGCTACATCCATTTTAAATGAATTATACATACCCATTGATTCTTGAAGAATTTAACAAATATATGCCTCATGAGCTTAGTTCAATAGTCACACTCCATCAGGACCCAATATATAAGCTGGTTTTGCTCCTTTGTTTGTAAACAATGTAATTGTAAACAAACACTGTATAGCCTCAAAACATAGTTAAAAGTATAATGTTAATGTCATGGATGGTCAGTACTCTGTCTATGAATTTGAGAGTGGTCACATATGTGGTCACAGCCCCATCCCTCAGCTTTATACCAAAACAGTTGTGGGGTGCCGCTTTGTTATTGTTTGAACTGCAGATTGTCCTTTTAAGCTATAGCTGAATTTGTCGCTAATGCTAAAATGTCTGTCACTCGGCACAAGAACCAAGCACACAGCACTTTTCACTCTTTTAAGGTTAAAATACACACTTTTGTCTGGCACTGCAAGGTCTCTTATGTATGTTTGAAATCACAAAGAAACAAAGACTGCATGGTCTCCACAAGTTGCAAGGTCTTTCACACAATTCCTTCTCTAACGATATTAACTTGTTTACAAAGGTCTCTCAAGAGGAGAACAGTTCAATGTATTCCACCTTACATTTCACTGTATTACCTGGTAGAACTGAATGAATAGATGTTATGAATGGATTGCTTTCACTATTCGCTAGCCTATATTGTAGACCCGACTGCATGTTTTGATGTCTGGTTCAGTTGTGAATACATACAAAAGCTGCCTCATAGACCTTTGTCACGCTTTAGTGGCTTGTTTGACAACATTTTGATGATTTAATATGCTTCATTGTGTAGCTAACTAATACCACCATCTTCTGTATCGATCCTTTGGATGGTTGGCTCGAAACAACTGAAGCTCTCTTCGTAGGATGGACATTGACTCGGAGCAGATGCTCTTATACACTATATATACAAAAGTATGTGGACACCTCTTCAAATTAGTGGATTCGGCTATTTCAGCCACACCCGTTGCTGACAGGTGTATAAAATCGATCACACAGCCATGAAATCTCCATAGATAAGCATTGGCAGTAGATGGCCTTACTGAAGAGCTCAGTGACTTTCAACGTGGCACCGTCATAGGATGCCACCTTTCCAACAAGCTGCCTCTGGAAGCAACGTCAGCACAATAACTGTTCGTCGGGAGCTTCATGAAATGTGTTTCCATTGCTGAGGAGCCGCACACAAGCCACCATGCGCAATGCCAAGCGTCGGCTGGAGTGGTGTAAAGTTCGCCGCCATTGGAATCTGGAGCAGTGGAAACGCATTCTCTGGAGCGATGAATCACACCATCTGGCAGTCCGACGGAAGAATCTGAGTTTGGCAGATGCCAGGAGAACGCTACCTGCCCTATTTATAGTGGCAACTTTAAAGTTTGGTGGTGGAGGAATAATTGTCTGGGGCTGTTTTTTATGATTCGGGCTAGGCCCCTTAGTTCCAGTGAAGGGAAATGTTAACGCTACAGCATACAATGACAGGCCTTATCGCCCAACATCAGTGCCTGACCTCAATTTGTGGCTGAATGGAAGCAAGTCCCCGCAGCAATGTTCCAACATCTAGTGGAAAGCCTTCCCAGAAGAGTGGAGGCTGTTATAGCAGCAAAGGAGGGACCAACTCCATATTAATGCCCATGATCTTGGAATAAGATGTTCGACAAGCAGGTGTCCACATACTTTTGGTCATGTAGTGTATGTTTTTCTTGGTTGTTCTCATCCCAAAGACTTTCCTAAAGTGGTGGAAATTTCTATTGTAAACATTTAAGAATCTTTAGATTATTGAAATTGTGTATCCTTACTGCACCACCTAAAAGGATTTCGAGACAGCTTTTCTGTTGATTATACACTGACAACTAAAATAATCTATTCTCAATTGAGTTTCAGCAGCAGTATATTACCTTCCACTGTATGTAAGATGAGAGTAGTACAGTGTATGAGGTAAGGCATCTGCATAAAGACTCTTCGAGTTCACTGTGCATCCCTTTTGCAGCGAAACGACAATACTGTAATGGAGGTTGTGTTTTATTGGCTGTTTGCTGGACGACAAAAATGCTATAACCATAATAAACGTGGGCGTGTAATGCGATTGGAAAACTGCAGTTAAGATTGTAATTATAGAACCTGTCAGGCTAATAAATAGCACTGTCGGGCTTGAGTGGAACTTCTTAGCTGGGCTTGTTTCCTCCATTGTGAAATCACACAAGTCAGCACAGCAGCATAGGAAAGACTTGGCAGCCTCGCTTCCCTGTTTGCCTCGCATCGACTTTCCTTTATGACGCTGGATGAGTATGTGTCAGCTATGTCTATTAGGGTCAGTATAGTTCTATCTCAGACAGTCATTCAGAGAGTTAGAGGACAGAAATGGAGCATTGAGGATCAGATCACATCAGATCAGAACTTTGTCATACTGTTGTTAGGGATGTGTAGCAGGGGAGTCCTGTCCATTGAAACTGAGGGGGGCACAGACCCTCTAAGTTTAACTATTTGTACACTGAAAATATGGAAGATATAGTTTATTTGACATACTTCAAACAAAGTAGGTGCATGATGCCTCTGTTTGTTGGAAGCTGGTTAGAGGCAGAGTTGTTCGAAGTTTTGACCAAACCAGTTGTCTAACGTGACTTATTTTCTATCAATTTCAGGTGAAATGTGATCAGTACTGGCCCACTAGAGGGACGGAGACCTACGGCCTCATCCAGGTGACGCTGTTGGACACGGTGGAGCTGGCCACATACTGCGTCAGGACATTTGCACTTTATAAAGTATGTTTTATTTCTTCTTATTAATTTAACCTTCAACTTTATTTCACCCGGAAGTCAGACACCAAATTCCGGTCTGTACCAAGAACTCCGAGAACTAACACAGTCCAACCATCTCCTTGTTCAGTATATGTGTATTGAACTGAGTTTAACTGATAACCATAGCCACGGGCCAGTAGCTTTACTCTATTCCCCTGACATCATTGGTGCAGTGTCTTTGAGATGTTATATATCTTTTTTAATTGGACCACACCTCCTGTCACCTAAAGGCATTGAAGTATTATTGACCGACTTTTCCTCTCTCTATCAGAATGGCTCCAGCGAAAAAAGAGAGGTGAGGCAGTTCCAGTTCACGGCCTGGCCGGACCACGGGGTACCCGAGCACCCCACTCCGTTCCTGGCCTTCCTCAGACGGGTCAAAGCCTGTAACCCCCTAGACGCAGGGCCGATGGTGGTACATTGCAGGTAAGCAAGGCTCCCATGATATCATGACTTTGCTTTCATAGAGTATGTTAGCCTGCTGAGTAGGGCTGTTACGGTGACCGTATTACCACCACACTGGCGGTCACGAGTCATGAAGGCAGTCAAATTCCACTTGACCTTTTAGTCACGGTAATTAGGCTTCTCCAAGCTCTGATGCTGCTGATGGTCATTAGTAGCCTACCAAACTTGCTAACTGCCTGGTACTCAGCACTCTATTGTCTCTCTAATCACTCTGACATCAATGCAAATGTGATCGAAAAATCTAATCCAACACTTAATGAGAGCCCATGAGCTCATGTTGCGTAACATTTCAATAGGCTATGCAATTGCGCGAGAAAAGAGTGATGGCCTCTATTAAAAAGAGGAGGATCCCATCAGCTTTCTATAGGCTAGGCCTACTATATTTATTTCTCAACTTTCCTAATATTAAGCACATTGCTTATATTTACAACAGGAGTATAGCCTACCTGGCTGGCATGAAAATAAACCACGGGGAAAAGCGTCCTCCATTCGCTATTTAAGTGCATAGATGACATGCATTTTTTTCCGCTGACCTGGTTTCGATACAGGTGCATGATAATGGTCCATTCTAAATCAAAATAAATGTCACACATATATTATTTAGTATATGTAAAGACAAGATTAAATCAAGAATAATCTGATGGGTGACAATATTAGCCTATCACATGTGAATTATATATTATCACTTGTGAATGATGCCCAGCATAAGAAACAATGCTTTTTTTGCGACTTTTTCTAATCGTAGTCACACACCTCATGTAGCCTAGCCCATAGGCCTATATGTTTTAATAAGGTTTGTATCACAACTAAAGTGGCCAAATAACTTCTTAAAATTAAGCACATTAATCCGCTTTACAAGGGGTGTAGAACTTAACTGGCATACATAAGCAGCGCGTGAGTTTCAAGTTTGTGGAAGATAATTTTCACCATAAAAATGCACCTTTATTATAAAAGCATGACATGCATAATTGTATTTGTGGTCACTTTTGATAATGGTGTTTTCCACTAATGGAAAACTTGCGCTGATAGCCTACTACCATGTGTGCATTGCTGAGCTTATAATGTGAAGAAATACCCTAATAGTTCATCAAAATGTTAAGCTAAACGTTCTGATCTGTTGCGTCAGCCACATTGCGGCAAAACATTTTTGGGGATGCTAGTGGTTGTATTAATTTGGGATCTATCGCATCCCACAACTGTCCCAGACTATGTTTGGATTATTTATTTCTCTCACAGAATAGAATAGGTCGACCTTTGTACTATGGGGGATAGTAGATTGACATAGGCTAGTGCTTTTGCTGTTCTTAGGCCTACTAATTTTGTTGGCTGACGAAAAGTAAATGTGGACAGTTCTTCCAATATCTTCAATATGCACCTCGGAATTGGATAAGGACGTGCAGAGTTGCGTCCCCGATGTGTCTGTCTTCACTTGTAGCGTATGAGAAAGAGCTGATCACGTGATGGAGCGTGCAGCACCCAGGGAGAAGCGCACAACGGCCTTATTAAGGGAATTATTATTATTATTATATTCAGCCCAAGCGCACAATGGCCACTGGCCGCAAAAGGCATGGATTTTTTTGGGGGGTGCATTACGGCCACACAAAGGGGATGCCTCCGTGAAATTCTAGGCATTATCAAGTGCTTGTCAAATTGTGAATGAGTGACTGATGTAGTGTGTACAGCCTGTGCAAAAAAACTAAGCAGAGCTCAAGCCTTTCAAGTGACTTTTTTCAAATCATCATTAGAGTTGCATCATGCAGCCTTACAATGTATTAAAAATCTAAACATATAGCCCAACATTTGAACAACTGAAGTTCTCTGACTTAAGCATATAGGAATACCTATTTCTTTGTTAACCACTCAACACAGAATAGCCGCATGTGCACACTGCCTCAAATCGTTTGGAGAAAATATCCTTTCTATTTTATTCAGCTTTGTTCAATTGTATTCTTCATACTATAAAATAATGCCACGGAATTCTAAGAAGATCTTGTCTGCTAAATGAACTAGTGCAGTGGTTCCCAAACTGTCATGTCAGTCATTGCATACCTTAGAGAGCTATTTATAACTTGTCAGAAATGTCCAGATCAACTAGCCCATAGATTCTGTTGAAAAATTTGCTTTTAAAACTGCACAATTTTCTCTGCACCCCATGACAAAATGTGTAGAATTGCAGGAAATAAGCTTTAAACCTGCTAAATGTTCTCTCTGCCAACAAGAGGGATGTGAACAATTTGTGTCATGAACAGTGATTGTGCCCATAAAATTAGATGTGGCGAATGCGCTAAATGTGCAGGATGTTCCCCAATGCTGGAAGGGGGGCCTGAGTGAAAATGTCTGGGAACCCCTGAACTAGTGTAACCCACAGCCATTTGGCATAATCAGATCAGGACCTAACATAGAGACAACTCAGAGTATGCTATTCTGTTCTTCTGAAATAGACTACATTTTCTTCATATCATGCTTCTTTAGACCTGTCTAAAATAAAAATGGATGTATTGTGAAGGTGTAGGCTATATTACATGGATTTATTATACTTTTTAAAATGTTGATGTTCCAAAGGTCTGCAGCAGTGGCTTGTAAGCTATGTGTGAAAGCCAGGAAATGCTAAATTTGTTTATGTTAATTAACGGTCAATTACCGTGAGACCGACATTTATTTGCTTGACAATCACCGGCTGACAAAATTTCGTGACCACCACAGCCCTACTGCTGAGCAAAGGACTTCTGGTCTCAGACAAGGTTACTCGTCATTCAAGCTCTGTTCACTGAATCACAGGTGTAGATAAAGACACAGAGGGAGAGAGAAAGAGACAAGGAAGAGAGAGTGAAGAAAGAGGAGGAGGGTAGGAGGAATGGCGGGACTAGATGACGTGAGCTGCATATCACTGACTGAGAGCCAGAGGGAGTCGTCCTACTAGCTTTACTTTTTTTTTTTTGGGGGGGGGGGGGGGTTTAAAGGTATTTACTACACTACACTAACATGCCGGCATCAGAGGTCCACGAGCATCCAGCTTATCCCTGGGGTTATTACAAAAAACTAAAGCACTTATTTCAGACTCCCAATGAGAAGGAGGACCAAACTCCAGACAAAAAAGAGAGTCGGAATGCAGCCGTCTGCATCTCCTCAGACTGGGGATTTATAGGAGGCTCTGCAGTGTGTGTGTGCGTGTGCGTGTCGGGGTGTGAGAGAGAGAGACAGACCAAGAGATAACTAAAGGCAGAGAGAGGAGGGCATGGGAAATGGAACTGAGATACAAACTTATGTCGGAAAAACAGACAAAAAAAAGGATTACCAAATCATTTAAATGACCACATGCTGGAGTTAATTAGACCTAGTCGCAGAATCAGTTTAAATTGAAAATTCCCAACTTTTTACGGCTAAGCAGAATGCAGGAATTAATGTCACTCTGCAGATGGGAGTTTTAATTCCTTGCCACTGCATCAGATTAAGCGAGTGCAGAGCTTCATATCCATATGGAAGTGTCTCGCACAATCCCAGATCTCCCATGCTTTGTCAGACCACCATTTAAAAATATGATTTCCACCCCTAATTTTTGTATAACTCCCTCTAGCCTATGTCTCCACAAATCCACTGTTTTTAGATTTGTGTGAATTAGTGAACGAGTGCACACTTCAAAGGAAAGGAGATATTATTGGGACACACATCCTTATATTTCAGGATGGGCATGGAGAGTTGGTGAGATGGCTGGTCCATCATGTCCTCTATCTTGCTAGGCTGTTGATTGCGGCACATACATTTGCAAGTCTAAACAAAAGCCGTTGATTGTTTTGTGGCGTATAATTAACTGCATTGTACAGTCCCCTGAGCTTTTGATAAATTAGCTGGTTGGACTATTTATTGCTAGCAAAAAAACTGGCCTTTTACCATTCTCCATTCTCCAATATCCAAAAATATTATAATATATTATAATAATAATTCTCCCTGTAAAAAATCAGTATTGCAACAGACTCAGACTGTGGTGTGGGTGTGACCCAATCCCATAGAAACATTATTTTGAGTTTTCACACAACACAAACACGTGTACCATAAGTGTAATTTCGTTTAACCTATTTTCACTAGAGACTTTCTCTCAAACATGCATCGACACACAAAAACGTACACAAAACACATACAATCATTCAATCTGTAATGGCCGCTGGAGTCGAAGGAACAGAATTAAAGTCTGACCAAAGTGGACCGTGTCTGAAGTGCTGCTTTGTAGTCACGCCGAGAAAGAGACCCCAATTTACCCAGGCTTCAAGAATGCACATTAAGAATGGGACAGTAGAGGTGCCTCCCAGATATGACATTCTTGTCACACAGACAAGCCATGGTCACTGTCACTCTGTCTGTCTACTAGCCACTTCAGACCTTCCCATCGATGGCCGTATATCCTTCATACTCAATAGCGAGCTAGCCAGTTTAGCATTACTGTGGATGACATGCCTTGTGAAAACAAGACAATGAGATGAGGTTAAGTGGTTGGTGTTCTGTTTTTAACGTTGGCTCGTGCTTTGTGTCTTTTGTTCATTCAAAATGGCCGACTTGTGTTGAAGCCATCAATGTCAGCGCATGGCAATTAGGAGCATTGTGGGTTTGAGTTGAATTTGTTTTTGATAATGAGTGGTAAAGAGACAAAATAATTCAGTTGGATTATCATTTTATTACCATTTATTCAATTTGATGTTGTAGGATCTCCCACCGTATTATATGCCCATGCCATCCCAGTGTGTTAAAAGTTCACTTTATGGCCAAGTTCTCTAGTCAAATGATTGACTAATGTGAGGTTGCTCAGTTTACAGTCTGAAGGTCATTAGAGAGTAACTTTAATTAGGTATTTGTGAGATTACATCTCAAGTCCTGTTGCCAACCTTCAATAAAGCTTCAGAGAAAAATGGAAATGTCCTACAACACAGGATCAGAGTAAACTGTCCCTATATTTCAACAGCATGCTTAATGTTG